GTTCCGACTGCGAACCCACGGCGAGTGTTCTTTGTCTTAAGGGGGTGCCAACTTTTACGTGAAAGCAAGTTCTGACTTTGCGTTCTTACGATGGGGCAAAGATGTGGCTTTGATGAGAGCAGGAGGGTGAAGCAGCAGAGACCATCCCGTTGGGCGGTTTGGCTGTCCCCCGGGAAGGCAAGACACCGAGGCAAAGCCGCACTGGGGGGTAAGATTGGACAGACCAGCGCGTTTAAAAGGCCGACAGGAAAATGCAGAACAGACGAGGCGGCGGCAGGAGAGCGGATGACGGGCGGAGGAAACGGCTCATGGTCATAGTGAGATCTCGGGGGGATGGGAACCTGAGCAGCAGGGAAAGGGGGAAAGGGGCAGGAATGGGTGCGGCTGCACCAGGTTCCCGAGTCCCTGGCGGGGTGCCGAGGACAGCAGGCCTTCAAGTCAATGAGGGACCGAGTGGAAAACGTTGATTTACTTGCCTACTTTTGTGTCTGAAAGCCGACGCCAAATTTGTACAGATTTCTGCAGTTCCATACTGAAGTTTGTGGGTGGCCAAAGAAATATTCACTTGGCTCAAATACCAACCTTGTTTGCTCCTTTAAGCATTTATAACAAAAATCCATTTCCAGATTCTTCAAGTTGATATTAAAATGGCATTTCATTTGCTCATCTTGATGATGCTCTGAAAGGATGGATTTTGAGATTGGTTTCCAAGAAAAACAAATTCCAACCTCATCTAGTCCAGCTGCAGGATGCACTCAGGCTAACACTCTGTCAGGGGTAGACTCAAATTTTTGCTGTGAAACTCTAGGGGGGAAATTCTTCTTTCCTGATATTCAGTCTTTGCCAGAAAAAGGAAAAAAAAAAGCCTCAGGAAGGGTTTAAGTGACACAATTTTTGAGTAAGTTGCGTAAGAAAACATTTTTCTATAGAAAAGCACATCGGAGAATTAGGGATGGAGCAGTTCCCCAGGTGTCAGAGAGACGCGACTTTGCACACCACCCTATTGTTCCCACCGATGTGCACTTGCTAAGCTGATCTGTCTGCACCTCTGGCTCTGTAAACTGAGCAGGGGCAGACTTGACTTTGAAAACACTGTGCCATCCCCGCTGCCTACGACGCAAGGCTCACGATGGCGAGTTTACTCAGTGTCACATTGGTAATACTTTAATAAGGTTAAAACATGGATCTTTAAAAGATCAAAATACGTTTGTTCTCAAAAATTGCCACTGCTGCCCTGGCCAGTGTGGCTCAGTGCTTAGAGCATCGGCCTGCGGACAGAAGGGTAATGGGTTCAATTTCCCAGTCAAGGGCACGTACCTCGATTGCAGGTTTGAGGCAACCAATCAATCTCTCTCTTACGTTGGTTTCTCTCCCCCCCCCACTCCCTCCCACCTTTCCACTCTCTCTAAAAAAAAAAAAATCAATGGAAAAAAATATCCTTGGGTAATTAAAAAAAAACTTTTTTGAATTTAGTTGGGTATAAAACTGTTCAAAAGCATAGAATTTACTTGAAAATAGCTTGTGTTTGTTTGGTCAGGGAAACACTTTTCCTATAGGTATGCTGTGGTCAGAGAAACGCAATGCTACATGTGTCTGTGGAAGAGTTTCATGGTGAAACTCAGTCCGTGTTATCTGGAGTATTTTAAAACAAGGACTCACTGGGTAGAGTCATCAGCTGATTTAAGAAGTATGGACAACACTGTGGTAACTGCTGCGGGCAGGGGTAGTGGGGTAGATGGAGGGGGGTATGGGGGGATAAATGGTCATGAAAGTAGACTTGGCTTGGGGTGGTGAACACACAGTCCAGTGTACAGATGATGTGTTGTAGAATTGTGTACCTGAAATCCATATAATTTTGTTAACCAGTGTCACCCCAATGAATTTTTAAAAAATAAAAAATGAAATGAAAAAAAGGAGAGAATGGATTATAGCACCTTGCTCTGTTTAGGTTTCAAAATGAAATATAAATGAAGTATAGCACACAGATAAATGCACAAATTCTAAGTGTACAAGCTCAATGAATTATCAGAAAGTAAACACTCCTGGGTAACTGGTACAAAGGTTAAGAAATAAAACATTAACCACACAACAAAAACCTATCCTTTATACCCTCAATTATCTGCTTCCCAAAGGTAACCACTATTCTGTTTTTGAACTTGATGTAAACAGAATTATACACTATGTATTCGTGTATGGCTTCCTTTGTTCAACATCACATCTGTAAGATACTTCCATGTAGCTTTCATGTAAATTTATTGTGCTCACTTGCATAACTATCAAATATTCTACTACATAAATATCACCATAAAATATCTTTATCTCTACTAGTTCCTGTTGCCTGAAAGTGTACTTTGTCTAACATTAATATAACTAACACCAGCTTTCATTTGATTAAAGACAATTGCTTAACAGGTCAGAATCTGACATTTGTATTCTGCAGGATCAAGGATTTAGCAGATAATTAATTCCATAACCTTGGGCATAGTTTACTTAATCTGAGGGCAATTTATTCCAACAGAACCATTGACTTTTTCCCGTTACCCTATCTATAGCCTTAGTACATAGGAATAAAATAGACATTGGAATCTTCATGACACATTAGTATCAAGTTTTCCTGATTAATTATACTTTCTTTATACTAGCAAAAGTGGGAGTTCAACATCCAAACCCAACAGTTTATGAATGGAGTAATTCCAACAAAATTGTTATTAGAATCTTATCAGTTCAGCATACATTGTTTTGATAGAAATATAGTGACAAATTTCCATTAGAAGTTGAAACAGGAAAAAAATCGACGTAGGAACAATCACAAAATTGTAAACAGAATAGAGTTAGCACTTCTAACTATTCCTAACCAGTCCTCCAGTTCAGTTATCAACAAATGTTGCGCATTAAAAATGGGGCACGGCTCACTTGATGGTTACAGCATATGTCGCAGAAACGGTCATAGCTCTGAAGGAGATTATTTCTAAGAGTGAATAGTAGATAATTATGGAATGGTATGTGTTCCTACATACTGTATGATAGCTTTAGCCATATGTATTCTGATCAGAATTGCCCTGAGGCCTCATGGTACATTTTGGGAGCTTCCTATCAAAAGCAAGAGTTCGAGTCTTTTTGATTTATGGATTTAGGCTGACACTTCTACTATATTACACATTTCTAAAGGGTAAGTCAACATACTCTTAGCTCTGTATCTTTTCCAGCACCTGGCTCAATTGCTGGTACAATCAGTACTTGGGGAGCTGAGTGAATAATTTTTATTAAACAGTGTTATGGGCTAAATTGTGTTCCCCTCAAATTCTTGTTGGAAGTCCTGAACTCCAGCATCTCAGAATGTGACTATATTTGGGGATAGGGCCTTTAAAGAGGAAATTATGGTAAAATGAGGTCAGATGGGTGGGCCTAATCCAATATAACTGCTGTACCTTATAAAAAGAGATTAGGACAAAGATACAAAGACAGGAAAGACCAGGTGGAGGCACTGGGAGAAGACAGCCACCTATAAGCCAAGGAAAGAGGTCGTAGAAGAAATCAACCCCACTGACACCTTGATGTTGGACTTCTAGTCTCTAGAACTGTTAAACTAAATTCCTGTTATTTATACTACCTAGTCTGGAATACTTGGTTACATCAGCCCTAGCAAACTAAGACAAATAACTACATTTTTTGTTAGTTTTTCTCACTTTTACAACTTGGAATTACATTTTTATTTAAAACGTTCACTAGTAGGTAGGAATTTTTACCCTTCCGCAGAAACACCACCACCACTCATAAAATGTCTTTAGATCGGTTTTGGTAGTATAAGCACCCAATTCCATGTACAGATCTTCAAGATCATAACCCTCATAGCACTTGGCAGGACAAAACCACAACACCTGGGTGTGATGCAGAGTAGTGCGTAATGTCAGGGCTCCGCCATGAACTGGCACGTGGCCCTGGGCAAGTCACCTTCTCTGTAAAAAGTGGAAACTGAACTAGGTGACCTCTTAGATCCATTTATGCTGAAAACGGGATGATTCTTAATGATGGTTATAGGCACTCTGCCGTGTAAGTAAGCATTTCATGGTCAAGTAAGTTTATAAAAACCTCACTTGGCCATAAGGGTTATTTTATCTTTTCTTGACAAAAATGCCTCTTATTCTTTAAAAAAATGATCTAGTTACATTCAAGGAGATAACAGATTTTACAGGTGAGCCAGCAAAGATCAGTAGGGTTTACCTAATTTTCCAATCCATTAAAAAACATTTCTTTCTTCCAAAAGATCCTAGAGTAAAAGACTACAATAAATTACTGTTTAGACTCCTACAGTCCAGTATTACCTTAAAGAAACCAAAAATAAAACATTTATGGACAAGCAATATCTAGGCAGCTGGTAACTAACTGTGTTACCCTTTAATTAAAAATGACACAAACCTGGTTTGAGATCACACCTGCTGTCCCAAAATTTATGGATACTGATCTCATAGGGAAGCCAAAAACTGAACTAGGCTAGAAAAAGTGTTCCAACTCTTCTTTGTCATTGCACATATGTCAAGTGTGTGTGTGTGTGTGTGTGTGTGTGAGAGAGAGAGAGAGAGAGAGAGAGAGAGAGAGAGAGAGAGAGAGAGAGAGAGAGAGAACTCATGCGAGTGTGCCAGCGGGTACNGAGAGAGAGAGAGAGAGAGAGAGAGAGAGAGAGAGAGAGGGAGAGACAGAACTCATGCGAGTGTGCCAGCGGGTACCTGCACTACAGGGGGTGCCACAGAGACAGCTGCATCACAGGACAATTAGAAAAGCAGTTTGCTCCTCAAAACGAGAACTGTTCCTTAATTTAAAAAGAGGTGGTTAGTAAACTTTGTTTTTTTTGGCTTTTGAAGTTGTATAAATATGTGCTTGCTATTCTCTTAAGTATGACAAGTTTAGACGGATGGCTATGAAAAAATTTAAAAAATATGACATCATTAGAATTACAGGTAAGACAAGCAGAAACCCAAAGTACAGACAAGAACACAGAAAAATTTTAAGAGCATACAGATGTCATGACATTTATTAAAAGGCATGCTACAATGCTATACTTGTTAGGAAAAGAGGTTAGAGATATCAAGTCATAGTCGGCAAACATACAAACTGAACGAGAATGGAATACACTGTTGTGTACAGAAGCTTGAATTAACCATGCACGACGCATTTAGAAAATATGTTTTTTAATATTTTATCTTCTCTTTGCATTTATAACAGTTCACTTCAATAATCACAGAATCCTTTTTTCCCAATGCCACAAACTGTTACAAATGAAGCTGGCACTGCTGCTTATCAAAATATACAAGACAATCGATGTTTTATATAAAACCACTTTATATGTTAACTTGTTCCCAAAACCCCCCCTTTTTTTTCTTTTTTGGCCTGTTTAAAAAAAATGTTGTTACAAATATTTACAGCATCTTCTTCTGTTAGATGAACATTCTTATAAACTGAAAAAGGGAATCTTATGAACAGACCACATAAAACATGAAACAATGTCATAGGCTCCTAGCTGTGCTATTTTTTTCTTAAATACAGTACTGAAAATGCCTACCAAACCCTTGTCATTCTAATCCATTCTGTTCACATTTCAACTCCCGTTTTCTCTAAGTAGTCTATTCACCAATAGGAAATAGAAAGTAAAGGCCGCTTTGCGCTGGGTCTTCTTTCAGGAAGGAGCTTGGGAAAAAATGCTTAATAGAGAGGAGTTAAAACCAGAAGTCAGTCTTTGGTCAGAGCAATGAGGTGACATTTTGATGCAAAACTTTGCTTGGTCAGCAGTCTTCATAATTAGTACTTTCTGGATGTGGGATGAATTTTTTAAATATCTGGGTAACAATAGTAAAGGGGAAAAGACCAGAGTATGACATCAAAAAATAGCTATTTAAATATTTGTTATTACAATGACTACATAGATTCAGGAACTGAAAATAACACAAGAACAAAAACCTGTTTACAGTGCTGAATTCAGCTGGCCATAAGCAGATTCCATTATGACTAGTATCACTAAGGTCACTGGACCAGACAAATATCCCTGTTCTCTGGAACATATGCATCAGGTTACAGAAACTAAGATGACTACCACAAAGATTTAGAGCGAGCAGCTCTGTTCTTGGACCTGCACAATGCTATATAATGAATATTATGCGATAAAGGCAAAAGTGTAACTGAGGCTTCATTTACACAGTTACAATTCTTCGCTTGTATGATGAATAGCCTGTGGGATAACATTCTTTTAAAACTATATAGTACATACTTCCTGAAAACCAGAATACTGATACTACCTTAGTCTCGAATAGGAAGAAAAGGTTAAGACTACTGAAGAAGGCACATAAACTTTGGTCCCGTTTTGTTTTTCTCTCTATATAAAACTCCTAAAACTATATTTTAGCAATTTTCTACTTTTTTAAACAATTCAAAACTGTTAGAATTTGCTCTGAAAAAAGACTGCAAGTAGTCTTGTAAATAACAACACAGCTCTTTTAAAAGACAGCTGAGTTATATTTTCTTTAAAGAAAAAGTTCTGTGCAATCTAAACTGTATTTCTTTGAGCACAATAGTAGAATATTTTAAGTCTGGCAGTTTTATTCTTGTTAACAGATCAAGACAAAGGAAAGGCAAAGAGAAATGCTTTTACACATAGTCATGCTGTTTTTTTGGTTTTAAAAATAGCAGTACACATTAGGTTTTCTAAGAGATAGGCTAATAGTTTGGCAAACTTCGGGATTTTAAGTGACTCATGGGGGGGGGGGCGGCACATACTTTTGAGCTGGTCATCTTTTGTCCAAAAATATATAGTGGGAACAGAAGAAAAATTACATGATAATTTACTCAATGTATATATAAACTTTGCTGCCTAAGGATATGGAAGCTTTGAAAAGTTTACATGAAACTGAGGAGACATTCATGAGAGTTACTTCTAACCAACTGAGACAGAACCTATGATTACCATCGTAAGTAGAGCCACAGAAGGCATTGCTCTGCTCCAATAAGGAATTAGGCAGGCAGAAAAAAAATATGTCTCTAAAAACTGTGAGATCTGCATCTTTCGATAAAAAAATCAGAAACTACAAATAAATGATCACAATATTTAGTCTTTAAGAATTTATGGCATCCTATAGGAGCTATTAGTAAAATACAGATACTCTTCAGTTAAATTATCAATTAAGATACTTGGTCATTTTTCTATTTGTATCTCACCCACGACACATTTTACTGCTCTGCAAGTTATTTAAATCTCAAAGAAAAACTTTTTGGCATAAATTGCTGATGTTAAACATGTACTGCTATTTTTTTTAAAGTCCTGAATATACATACTTTGTGTAAAAGTGAAGACACTTCCAAAAGTGGTGAGACAATACTCTTTAAAATAAAGTAAATAAACTTAAAAATAGAATACTATGTCAGCTCAACAGTGAAAACTAGAAGATATCTAATAAATGCATGCCAAAAACAAAAAACACAAAGATCTAATTTTTCCACTACCCTGATATTTTAAAATCTTTTTACAGGAACTATGCCAACACAAACACTGTAGACTTCTAGAATTCAAACAGCAAATAGCCCAGTATGGACAACATCCATGTGCTACAGCTAATTTTAGACACAAATTGATGGTTTCAAACACACTATTTTAAATAATATCTCACTTTTCCAAATCTTAATTTGATTAATTTCCTTTGTCAATAAATTAAAAGGTATGTAATGTGTATATGTATGTACAACATCAGAAGAGTGTGTGTGTGCGTGTGAATAAATGTATATGTATATACACACACACACTTATCTATGCACACACATACACAAATCCCTGAAAAGGATTCAAATGTTCTCTCAGATTTAAAGGCCATGCTCTACTTTGAAATTACATTCAACACCATTATGATCTCCCTTCTGCTACACTTTTGCTACACTTACACACTGAATATTATGAAAATCATGACTTTAAATTACACAGTCATTCTTAACTCAAAGCAAATAAAACAATCCAATTTAACATGCCACTGAAAATTTTAATAGTGCCTGCATGGAAGGAAAAATGAAGCAAATTTTGGGAGATTCCTCAAAGAAATTTTTTTCCTCCCCCTTTACCCAGTGTTTTGCTAAAAAAAATCTAAGTGAAAAAATAAAATCTTGTTAAGTGATTATACCTATCTATTCAACCAATGCTAAACTGATCCACCCAAAAAATCTCAATTTAGTGTCCTTCCTATTACACCAACTGACTGTTGCTCAGTGTTGAGTGAATTCTGCTTTTTAACAACTATAGTATCTTTTGTCTCCAATTCTTTGTAGAAACCTTCCTGTGTTCAAATTAACAGCTGGAACACAGCAAAGAGGTTGAGCTCTTCCTCCTACAGGTGAGACGAGTCGCTCCGAGATTCTGAAAAGCATAAAAGTGGTGGACAAAAGTGTCCCTTTTGACGAATCCTGCTTTTAAAAAATCTGATCAAGCAATGAAGGAGTAAGCAACAAAAGCAAAGTTTCTCATTAAAAAGAAACAATTTTACATTATACAATCATTAACATGCATGCTTACATTTGGAAAACTAAAAAGGGAATGAGACTGAGAATGAGAAGGAACCCACTCTGTCATTCACCATATATGTGGGTAGTCAGTAATGAAGCTACTTTAACAGAGAAAAGCAAGTTCTCGCTTGAGTACTGAGAAAAAAACAAGTAATCCTGAGATAACATCTGATGAATGATAAAGATTAGACAAGATCCAGAAACTGAGACCGCATTTCATAGCTCTAAATTGGGAAGCCATAATGGCAATGACCGCTACTGGTCACAATGTGAAGAGGCCTACAAGTGTGCACTGAGTTATTCTCCAAACCACTTACCCTTCCCCACCCCATCTCTGCACCAAAGCACCATAAATTTGAATAAAAACTATTACTTATTGAAAACCACTTAAAATAGCAATGAAAAAAAAAACTTTAAAATCCTTACCAAAAGAGGGAAAGAAAAGATGAACACTCACCAAGCCCACGATATAGCTTTCAAGATACTTAGATAAAACTCTAACCTATTGTATCATAAGCACATAATAAGGCACATAATAAGAAATTAAGTAAATACACAGTAATTCTGAATAAGTATTACAGATTATAGTGGTACAAAAAACCCTTGAGATTAATTTTTTTCTAAAAGAAGACCTTACCAAAAATAACTTTTAAAAATCTGTCAAACCATATGATAGACCTGAATATTTTCCTTAAGACTGTAAACTTTTTTTCTGAAAACAATTATAAAAAAGTAGTTTATAGAGGTGTTTTTTTTAAAATTTTCTAAGATTGTATTATATTACTTAGCAAGTAAGTGTCATTTTGAAATTTAAAACATAATTTTTTCCTAATCAAGTTATTAATTATTCTGACACCTTAGTTGATCCTAGTTGAATGCCACTTAATTTCCTTAGGGACAGTTGAGACACTTCATTTCTCCAAATAGTCTTAAAAAATTAAAGGTATGTAATATTCAAAGGAGTGTCTTACAGTGAAAAAAAAAAAAACAACAAAAAAAAAACCACTGAAAGAAAACATGGAAGTTTATAAATCTGCTTCCAACACAAACCAATTTGTTTATGTATAACTATCAATATATGCCAAATAACTGATATAATTTATAAGTGAACAAATTCTGAATCATAAAGTTAAAAACTTGATTGTAAGAAACTGAAATTACTTACATCAAGTAATTTTAAAAGTTGGTATGTTTAAGCTTTTTAAAGTACAAAGGAGTTTAGAAATGTATAAGGCTATCTGGACTCAAACTAGAAGAAAGTCTGTCCTCTTGAAATCCAATTTAATATGGGGAATTAAATCACTGAAAAAAAATTTTTTTACCTGATTTTCTTTTAAAGATTATTTTCACAGAAACTATGGTATAAAGGGAGAACACATGTTTGACCACATATTAGCAGGGGGGAAAACATCCCTTAATTTTTTGAATATTCTTAAATAGCAAACTCAGAAAAAATTGTTTTTGTAAAAGAGGCAGAATTGGTCTTGAGCTGCTTCAGTCTATGTCTGAATGTTTTACTGCAATTACGGTCCAGTCTTAGGAGAAAAATTCACAGAAAAGTCAGATTGTAGATTTTGAGAAGGAAACTCTGAGGTGGTGATTTTCTCCAAGGTCATGATTATGAAGCTCAATGAGGGCCTGGATTGCTTCTTCCACAGATCCCAACTGAATAAGAGCCATTTTGCGATCTTTCCTGAAAATGTTAATAAAAAGAGTAAAGAATTAATTTTGCCTATAAACCTTCTCCCCAACCCTAGAAGACTTCATTGAACTACCTTAAAGTTTGCATACCATATTAAATAAGGTTAACGTATTTCTTAAAAGATAGGACTTACTGAAAGAATTTAAAAGCCTTCACTGAACATCCAGCTTCTGTGAAAAGGTTCTTCAGATCATCCATTGTAACGGAAGGTCTGTGAAAACATCAGAGTCAACCAAGTATCTTAGCCCCAATTCTCAAAGAAAGCAAAGATTAACCCACACTGTTAAACCTCCAGAGTATCTCGTATTTCAAAGGGAATAAAGCCATGCAACGAAGGCATGATTTGGAACTGCCCTGAAAGATACTTGAGGTTGACAAGTGCATGTCCCTCAACAATGAAACTTGTCCAAAATCTTTTGCAAATGATGTGGACGGGTATATAAAGAACAAGAAAACAGGGAGGGGTGGACAAAAGTAGGTTTATAGTTGTGAGTACTCGACACAGTTTATTCTTGTATTATTTAATTATTGTATTATTTATTTGTATTACAACTGTAAACCTACTTTTGTCCACCCCTGTATTTATTCTTTCAAAGGAATTAGTGCTCATACCACTGGCTTCAGTAATTAACTCTAATACTTCCAAAGCTACTTCTCTAGTTATGACTTGTCTACTATAATCCAGAGTTCTACGTTTAGTTTAGTTTTTTAATCCTCACCGGAGGACATGCTTACAAAGAGGGAGAGAGAGAGAGAAACATCAATTGGTTGCCTTCCATATGCTCCCCAACTGGGGATCAAACCTGCAACCCAGGTATGTGCCCTGACCTGGATGCACAGGATGACGCTCAACCAATGGAGCCACTCCGGCTGGGCAGAGTTTTAAACTGCTTTCAGGGTAATTATGAGTATGTGTATATGATAGCCAGGCTCTGACAGGGCCTCTAATTACTCTCACATTCTAGAATTCACACCCTTGCCATACTGAATAGGGACGTTCTCTGTAACCTTTAAAGGTACTGTAGAAATGACATGACTGCTGAGGCTGAGAGACACTGCAGCTCCCACCTTACCTTCTCTTCAATCAGTAGCTTTGGAGGAAACCAGCTGCTATTTCATGAGGACACTTAAACAGCCATATGGAGAGGTCCTTGTGACAAGAAACTGAGGGCCTCTGTTAATAACTCGGCACATGAGTGAGCCACTCTGGAAGCTGATCCTCTAACCCCAGTTCAGGTGCTACCTTATGATAGACTCTCAGCCAAAACCACCCAGCTAAGCAACTTCAGGATTCTTGACTCACAGTTACAGTATGAGATAATGAATGTTTACTATTGTGTTAAGTTTTGGGGTGATCTGTTATGCAGCACTAGAGAAGCAATACACTGGCCTATCACTCGAGAGTCAACTAACTGCCAGCAAGGCTGGTATAACAGAAAAATAACTGGCTCTGCAGGGAGATAGATCTGTGTTCACATTCTATTTCTCATTCATTTGTTATGTCACTTTGAGAAAGTTATTTAATCTGAGCCTCTTTCATTGATAAAATGAAACTCATGACCTTATTTCAAAGGTTTTATGGATAAATTGATAGAGACAGAAAGTAGAATACAGCAGTCCCCCCTTACCCAAGGATTCGCTTTCTACAGTTTCAGCTACTCCAAGTTTGAAAGCAATAAATGGAAAATTCCAAAAAATAAACAACTCATAAGTTTTAAACTGGGTGTCATTCTGAGGATCGTGATGAAATCTCCTGCCATCCTGATCAACTGTGCCTAAGACATGAATCATCCCTTTGTCCAGTGTCTCCACACTGTATGTTACAAGCCGGTTCATCGCTAATAACCTTCTCTGTGTTCAGATTGCCTATCACAGTATTCCAGTCTTGTGATCAAGTCACCCTTGTTTTACTTATTAATGGCCCCGAAGTATGGCAATTTGGATATGCCAAAGAGAAGCCATAAAGTGCTTCCTTTAAGGGAAACGTTCTTAATAAGAGAGACCACATTCACATAACTTTTATTACAGTATTTTGCTATAATTACATTATTATGTTATTGTTGTTAATCTCTTACTATGCCTAATTTATAAATTAAACTTTATCACAAGTACTATCTATGTATAGAAAAAAACATACTATACATAGGGTTTGGTAATATCCAGTTTCAGGCATTCACTGGGGATCTTGACACATATCCCCTGTAAATAAGGGGGTAAATATTGTAGTGGTTACCAGGGAATGGGAGTAGAGGGAAATGGGGCTATTGTTCAATGGCTATACAGTTTCAGTTTGGGACGATGACAAAGATCTACAGATGGATAAAGGTGATGGTTAAATAACATAAATGTACTTAACGTGAATGTACACTGAACCTACACTCAAAAATGGCTACAATGGTAAATTGTACGTTGTGCATATTTTATCACAATTAAGAAAAAGTTTAATATGGAGATTAAATGAGGCAATAGATGTAAAAGACCACCATAGTGCCCAGGACTTGGTGGATGATTTAAAAAACATTAATGTCCTTTCTCTCATCCACCCACATGTCCTATGTATGTTGCAACTTGAGAACAGCTCCTAGATAATGTATTGTATTTAAGATAACAATGACAGGAGCCTGCCCCAGTAGCTAAATTTGTTCCCCCTCTACCCGACTTTATAGTGGTGAACTGTTAAGTTTCTAGATCCACAAAATCTAGTGGTGGTGTGTGTTTTTTTCTTAAGTGGCTCCTCCAACTTCCTAGTTGGCATGAGGGTTGAGCCACTGTCCAATTCACATTCAAGATTTCTCAAAGCAGCATAACTGGAGACTAGCTGGGAGCCTGAGTAGTCAACACTATTTCAGTAATTATTTTCTATACCTATTCATCTCCTTTTTCTTTTTTTTAAATATATCTTTATTGATTTCAGAGAGAGGAAAGGAGAGGGAGAGAGAGAGATAGAAACATCAATGATGAGAGAGTCATTGATCAAGCTCGCAACCCAGGCATGTGCCCTGACTGGGAATCGAACCCCGATCGCCTGGATCCTAGGTCGACGCTCAACCGCTGAGCCACACCCGGCTGGGTTATACCTATTCATCTCCTATTCTCATTCTCAATTAAGGTCGAAAACCTTACCATTCTCCAATCTCTCAGTCTTTAAATTTCCACACACATGCACACACACAATCACACCCCACAGTTTTTACTCCTCCCTTTCCAAAGCTTATCCCCACTTCATTTATTTGATTAAATTATACAAAACTGCCATCTTTGTTGGTCAAGGAATTCAAGAATTACAACAGGGGTTGCCAGATGTTTTCTATAAAGGGCCAAACAGTAAATACCTTAGGTTTTGATGACCATACAGTATCTGTTGCAACTCTCCAGCTTTGACATTGTAGCTCAAAAGCAGCCATAGATAATATGTAAATGAACCAGTGTGATTGTGTTCCATGAAACTTTATTATGGAACGTAAAATTTGAATTTTATATAATTTTCTCAAATCACAAAGTATTTTCCTTTTGCTTTCCCCCCACCATTTGCAAATGTAAAAATCAATCTTAGCTCATGGACAATACCAAAACAGATGGTTTTGGCACTTGGCTATTCTATTAATCTCAGACTTAGAAGATAACCAAAGAATAAGTCTGCTACAACGTTTGTTAATACAAAGTGGTCACACACAAAAATAATAATATATTAATTACAATTAATAATTATACATGGTTTTTGCTGCTTATAGACAAAAAATTCTCTTTTTAACAAATTCTAAATTACATAATTTATTTGCCCTGGCTGGGTGGCCCAGTTGGTTGGAGTATTGTCCTGTACACCAAAAGGCTATGGGTTCAATTCCCAGTCAGGGCACATACCTAGGTTGTGGGTTCTACCCGATTGGGGCATGTACAGGAAGCAAACAATCAATGTTTCTCTCTCTCTCAACATATACTTGGGTGAGAATTTAAAAAAACAACAAAACATAAATTATTTCACTTTGCTATGTTCGTTATTTAAGTCTTTACTTCTACACAAATGAATGAACAAATATGTACCAATGGAATATTTCTGCATAAACTTATTTTTATGCCCTTTTATAAGTGAAAGGTAACTAGTTGCTAAATTTCTACTTGTAAAGAAAAATTTAAAACACTGCTATCCTTAACTTTTACAGTGTATGACTGAAGATATAACCTTAAGACATAATGGCAAATGAATCATCTCACAAGAAATTAGTCAACAGGACAACTGCTACATCAGAATAATTTCAGAGTTTTTACCTCTCCTAAAACATATTCTGTTTATAATAATAATTACTATTATTATTATTAACCAATAATAGATTGTAAACCATTTCTAAATGAATAATAAATTAGGTACATACGGGATGTTGGAAAGATGCAGAGTGGCTGAAGGTGGAAAAATATTCTGGAAGTTTTTAGAGCCAGGCTTTTTAAAGCGATGCAAAGGACTATTGCTAAAATCCTTAGTCAGACCTTGGTCTTCTTGTCCCTCTCGAGGAAGCTGAACTGCTTGATGTTTGGACAGTGTAGCACGGAGCACTTTTCCATAAAGTCTCTGACCGTTCAGGTGGTTCATTGCTGGTGCACAGGAAGTAAGAAAAGTTTGGGTATTAAAATAGTCTATAAAACTTGTCTAAATTATCGCAGAATCTTTTTATTTAGTCATTTAAAATTATATTGTCAGTTTGAGGGTTAAAATGGTTCTAAAATTTTTAAAGTCTTACATATAGAAATGTATTATTTATTTTACTATAATGAAAGAAAAGCAAACAAAAAACCACCATCTCCCTAGCACAATGCTAGGAAGTTCCAGAGTGCCTGGAATATAACAAGTGTTGTAATAAATATTTTTAATCTTTATAAAATATAAGCAGGTCCAAACAGTACTGAAAACATCAGCACAAAGAGGTACTCCAGTAAAAGTATATTCCTACTAGCTATATGCTTCTTTTATAGGAAAATTCATATACAAAAGGGGGAGGTCACCGTTATTATTATTAATCATCAGTACCTAGCTGAGCTTGATTTGCATCTGCCATCTGAACCAAAGCATTTTCTTTCTTATTAAACATAATCTTCACTCGATGTACATCACCGTATACTCCTAATTAAAAAGACAAAACAAAACAATTTTTAATGTCTGACTCTGTAATAATTAATGTTACTAACACATCTAAGGGTTTCTTTTCTCATATTATACATGGTAGGGAAAAAACAGGTTCACAGTTTTGAGTAAACAAAACAGTTTATTCTTGCATTATTTTTTATTAATTATTGTATTATTTTCCATATGAACAACTGTAAACCTATTTTTGCCCCACCTTGTATATCTCCCCTGGGCTATTTCATACATATGCTCCCAAATTTATATCCCTTCTATGTTCCGAATCTCCCCTTTCCTCTTCCCAGTTCAGTGTTCACAAACTCTGTTGATAAATGTTACCATCATCCAAATACTGGCTCCAGTGAGACACTCGGGATTCATCTTTTGACTTCCTTTCTTAAATTCTTACATCCAATCAATCACCAGCACCCACTGATTCTACAGCCTAAATCTCTCTCACATTTGTCCACTTCTTCCCATCCTCATCACCATCAAAGCTATCATCACTGGTTCACATCTGGACTGTCACAACAGTCTCCTAACTGATCTTTTTATGCCCAATTTTTCTACACTGCTGTTCCCCACAATGGGTCCCACATCCCAAAGGGCAGGCAAAATGATTCATTGGGGTGGGAGAGGAAAAGAATTAAACTTTTTTCACACTAATATGTTTATATAAAACCAATATGAAAAATTATATTTTATTTTTAATATACAGATAAAATTATAGGCAGTTTCCATAATATAAAAGGCATTTTTTTTTTCATTCAGGATATTAAAATACATTGTAGTTTATGTGCTACTGGGTATCACCAATATTACAAAAATAAAAGCCTGAAGTAGTAGCATCATTTCCATATTGTGTAATGCAATGAGAATGACTATGAAAACTTCACGGCACACAAAGGAGTGCTGCTTCTCTTGTGGGCAAGCAACTAAGAGAAAATGAACTTAGAGATGAGTGGTACTTTTAAAATTTAAAACAAAAAGGCAAGTATTCCAAATTTGCTGTCCTTTTCAGAAATGACAAATGGCTGAAATATATATTATTGAAAAAAATAACACAATTTGTTCTTCAAGCTGAGGGTGATTTTTTTTTTTTTAAATGAGTGAGAAATTAACTACTTTTAGAAAGAAATGTGCTTGGACTATTAAAGAGACATATGAAAATGTATCATTAATACATGATTTCATTACTCAAAATTAATAGAAATGTGTCATCAATAAAAACTTTTACTGCAAATGAGCATGAAGGATCTCTGTGGGGTGATCAAGATGTTCTAAAACTGGACTTTGATAATAATGGCTGCACAATACCATAAATTTACTAATGATCACGATATTGTTGTATGGCTATGAATGACGCCTCAAAAACACTGTTTAAAAAACCCATTATGCACTAAAAAAATTTAAAACAATTTTTTATCGCATTAAAAATTCTTCCAAATGGGTGTGAGTTTTAACTCCATTTGTTAAAAAATATTCTAACACAATAGTTTTCAAGATCAACTAAATTAACAAGAGGAAAAATGGAACTTTTCTAAGTACAACAAAAATTAGTGAATTAAACTGAAAAATTAGTATAATTAATTAGGTATAGCAACAATGAAACACTTCCATTTATACTGCTCATGTTTATGAGGTTTCTTTTTCAGTTATGACAACCATTAAGATCAAGTACTAAAATAAAGTGAATTTAGAGTCAGACCTTACGATACTGAATCAAAATTAAAAAGATTTCTGAAAATAATGAAGCATATTAAATCATTTTTCTCACTAAATGTTAATAGTTTATGAAAATTTCATTAATAAAAAATCTTTAAAATATTAAATATTGCTTATTTCATTGCTCATATATTTATACATATTACATATACATAATGAATACAATAAAAGATGAAGTGTATGAAAAATTAATCATAGATAAAACTATTCAATGGTTTCCCATTGTTCTTAGGTTAAAACCAAGCTCCATAATTTAGCTTACAAAGCTCTTCATGATGTTGCCCCATCCATATGGAGAATTTCAGTATGTCTGTCCTTTATACTCTCCATTGGACTTCCTTCACTTCTAAGTTCCAACTCTCTCTCTCACTGCTAGAACCTGTGAAAGGATATTTGCTCTCCTTTTTCTGCCCAGTTAATGCTTACTCATTTTGCACACGTCAGCTTTCCTACCATTTCTCCTGATATAACACCTTTGACTCCCTCAATTAGTTTAGGATTCCCAGCTTTTCGTTTTCTTCAAACAAAACTTTCTTGTAATTATAATTACTAAGTCTTATTTGCTACTCTATCCTCAGTGTTAAATACACTACTTGGCACATAGAGACAGTCAATAAATATTACTGAATGACAAAATGTGTTTAACCCACGTATCACAGATAATATTAAAAACAGGAAAAAAAGGAACTTACCAAACAGGATAAACAGCCCATGTGGTGTGATAAGCTGAAAAGTATAATACAAAATATAGGTGTCTAATTTAAGTAAAAATTTAAAATAACTTTACTTTTAATAGTAACAACCGACTTTATTTAAAGCATTTATTTTACATACTTCCTCTATATATACTAGTGATGAATTTTAATAAAAATCCTTAAACTTAAAAATTTTTTATTTGAATACAACTCTAGATCAGGAGCTACTATAGACCTCCTCCTGAAACACTAGAAAGCTTTCCAACTCACATCAGGATTGAGATTGGTGACAAGCAGAACAGAATTTCCTGGTATGCCACCAGACCCAGGAATGGCCATCCTTCCAGTGACAGCAGAGGAAGTGAGTGTGAGGGGACCGAGAGCTCCAGGAACAGCTGGGACTGACAGACCTTTTTAAAACATCAAAAGCAATTCATATTTTAGTTATCTGAAGATTACAACAATTGGTAAGTAAATAAATGAAGGCAAAAGCAAAAATATAGAAGAAAATGTGTCAAAGCTACCATAAGGATATCAAAGGCCAGTTTCCTGCCCTACAGAGTCTGTCTGGAAGTCAAGTTCCTTATTCTTTAATATCAACATAGCCAGTATTCTATTATTTATATAGTACTTTGCAGAGCAACTGAATTCTCTGATCTTAAAAGCCATTAGGTCTCTCAAAGGATCTATCAACTACAGGCACTTGCTCATTTCTTGAAATAGATATATTCCAGCACATTTCTATAAAGTAGGTATAATTTTCCTATTGACTTCTACCATAAAATAAGATATGCATAAAGTCCTTGAGCAGAAGTCAAAAATATACATGGTAGGTGGTACTGCATGTTCTAAAACTGGACTGTGATAATGGCTGCAAATTTACTAAATTTTAGTAAAATCTAGTAAATTTATTAAAAATCACTGAGTTGTATACTTAAGAAAGGTATACATATAGAATGCAGATGTTCTATATGGGAAAGCATTTTGTAACCTTTTAAAGTGCTATATAAATATTACTGCCATCAGCTACAGACTTATAGAATCCAATCTTCTTTGGTACCAAGAATTTTCAGAGCCCTCTATTCCTCTAGATATTCCAGAACTAATGAAAGTTCTATCATACTGGAATACTGACACTATATACTATACTTAAAATAGCACACTTTCTCAGAGGGTCCCACTAGTTGTTTTCTCAGCTTAAAAATTATCTAAAGTAAAATCTCTAGTTTATGTGAACCAGTTCCTTAATTCACTGACTCTTAAAGCTCAAAATTCCTTATAATAGTCCAGCCACTTTCCCCAAAATCATTTAATTAAATTGCAATGTAGTTTACATTCAGACTATTCTGCTTGATAAATCTAAGGTCATTACTACCATCATTCTGCAGAATTTTAAAACTTTGCAGACCAACTTCTCAGGCTGGATACTTTTCCATGAAATTTATACTCAATAGCCCTTTATATGACTTCTTCCTATGTGCCTCCAATCCAACCCTGAAACTTCTGAATAACTTTTGTAGGTCTATCATGTACTGCCAGAACTACACCTTAGCTACATTGTAGGATGTCTGTGTGTATGCATACATACAGTCATTCTTTGGTAGCCATGGATGCCCACAAATATCAAAATCCAAGGATACTTAAATCTCTTGTATAAAATGGTGTAATATTTGCATATAAACTATGCAAATCCTCCCATACACTTTAAGTCATCTCTAGAGTATTTATAACGCCTAATACAATGTAAATGCAATGCTCTGGGAACAGCTGCTATAATGACAAGAAAAAAGTCTGTATGTGTTCAGTAAAGATGCAATCATCGTACGCGTAACTACATAGTATACATCAAGTAACATTTCTGACCCCGAATATACATATATATTTTTAAAATATAACTTTATTGATTTCAGAGAGAGGAAAGGAGGGGGAAAGAGAGAGAGAGAAACATCAATGATGAGAGAGTCGTTGTTGATCGGCTGCCTAGCACGCAATCCGGGCCTGTGCCCTGACCGGGAATTGAACCCTGATCTCCTGGATCCTAGGTCGATGCTCAACCACTGAGCCATGCGTGGCTGGGCCCCCGAATATTTTTAATCAACAGCTGGTTGAATCCAAAAATGCGGAACCCACAGATATGGAGGGCTGACTGTATATACCCTTACTAGACCTTAAAAGTCCTATCTACTTCTCTTTCTTAACATCTACTATAGTTTTTTATACATAGTGTGTTTCCAAAAGAAATATCTAAAATGAGGAAAACCATGTATCACTGCTTTGAAATGTATACCAATTAAGCTTCTGGGGCCTTCAAATAAATAAAAACAGTGTACAATGCCTTCGTTTTAATGGAATAGGCAGAATATTCACTTAATAAGCATATTAACATGTCTTAAAATCACCAAAACACTAAAACTTAAAGCTCAATCTTATCACTCTTTTCTTTTTCTTTTTAGTAAACTTCATCCTGTCCATCAAAAAAAAAAAGTAGTCAAGATTCTCTGAATTAGAAGCGTAGGGTTTAGAGAGTATTGCCACAAAGCAACTATATTGCAATTTAAAAGTTATATTTATGCATCAGCTGAAAGGTAGAAATGTAATATGCAGACTAGCTTAACGTTATGCCACCCTTCTAACTGCCAATCTCAGAGTTGTCTTCAGGCACCAGAGATAAAAGCATAAAGTAATTTTTCCTTCTCCTTAAGTTATGATAAAATTTGTTTTGTTTGCTGTTTGGAAAAAGAGTCATTATTAAAGTATTAACTAACTGCTATCTCTTAATTATCTCCATTAGCTAAAGAAAAAAATACATATCCCCTGAAATGAATTGCATGCATACCCTCTTATAGTAATCTTCTGAACCCATTATTGACAAAATAATTTATGAATAAGTTGAACAGTAAATGTGTATTAACTCAAGTATTTACTGACTGCATAGTATGTACTGAACGCCATCAAAGGCACTGAGGACAAAGATAAGTAAGACACAGGCCTGTTCAACATGTACCTGATAAGCTTATCAGCAAGGACAGAAGCAGTCCATACATTTTATATAACATCCCAAAAGGCAAACCTAAGGTTAGTTAATATAGTCAGCCCATAGGTATCTGTGCCAATGGCAAATATAAATGATGCAGAACATATAATGGAAATTTGCAACTGAGAATAGAACCAGAGAGAATTATTTGTAAATATAAGGAAGCTGTGTATCATGCAATAAGCCACTTCTATGGTTGACACACATAATACTTTTATTGTAAATCCTTCAATTATAGTAGTATTTTTCACCTTGATAAGTTCCTAGAAAAAAAGAGAACATCAGAAAAAAATAATCTCAAATTGAACTTTGAAAGAATCACCTGTAGCTTGAGGGAATCCAATGGCTGGGGCAAATCCAGCAGCCCCTGCATATGGTGAGGAAATTATACCTGGTGCACCTAATGGGAAAGAGAAGCTAAAATAAATATATTGCCTTCTATAAATATAGTTATCAAAGTAATATAAAATGGTTAAGTAAGGGTATATTACTGATAAAGAGATTCTATTATAAAGTCAAATTGTTCAACAGGTGATCCTTAATGTCTGAGTGAAGAGCCTCTGTCACTTGCAGAGACCCACCCCTTTCAGCTGGGTTCAAAGTATAAGAGTACAGCTGAGCTGTTTAGTTCTGAGTTACGTGCTTGTTACTTAGTTTTGTTATTTAGGTTGAGATTCTTGCCCTTATTTAGAGGATTGTTTCTATGTAAAAGTCGTCAAATACTTAAGTTATACTGTACCTAAGGGGTACTGCATTGATAAAAAGGAAATATGAAATACAAATCCTTGCCTTTGAGAGGTTTACAAACTAAAAGTATAATTAGAGGAGATTCATATGCTGAGGATCTAGTGGTTTAAATACAAATGCACTGCAAGTGGTCTAAGAAGGATTCACTGTGACTGGAGAAGGTTTCTCAGGAGGTAACTTAAGCTAGACAACATGCATTGAAAAGCAGTGTTTAATGTGTACTAGATGCTGAACAAATGCTGGTACTCTTCCCTTCCTTTCAGAAGCCTGGTGACTATGCATCATCAACAAAAGCAGGGGCGTGCAGGAGGCAGCCGATCAATGACAACTCTCTCATCATTGCTGTTTCTTGCTCTCTCCCTCTCTCCTTTCCTCTCTCTGAAATCAATAAAGACATATTAAAAAAAACACAAAAAAACCGACTCTGTATTTATATATTAGCAACAGGTAGAAAACAAAATAACAATGATAGCTAAAAGTTACATTGCACTCAGGCTGTATACTACTCTAAACTCTGTATGTACATTAGCACATTTAATGTTCACCACAACCCAATCAATTAAGTACTATTATTATGCTCATTCCACATATGAGGAAATAAGCGCAGAGCAGTTAAGCAATTTGCCCAAGGTTATATAGATAATAAATATTAGTTCTAGAGTTAGAATCTAAAAAGTATGGTTCCTAGAAATAAACCTAACATATCCAAACCTTTATGGAGAAAAGTCAGCAAATTTACTGAGAGACATTAAGGAACACCCAAATGAATGGAGAGATGTACAATGTTCAAAGGCCAGGAAATTTTACTGTGAAGATGTCAATATCTTCTACGTGATTTATAAAGTCAATGTAATCCAATCAAAACCCCAAGAGCTTTTTTGATAAGCTGATCCTAAAATTCATGTGTAAATGGTCAAGACTTGCCAAGGTACTCTGAAGAGTAAGGTAAAAAGACTTTATCAGGTATTGAGACTTGTGGTAATGACAAAAGACAAACAGACCAATGGAACAATTCCCAGAAAACTACTTAAGCAAACATCAAGTTGAAGTTTTAATGGGACGTGTTAACAATGCTGAAACTATTTTTTTGTGTATTATAGGATAGAGCAAATAAATATATATGTTAAGGTTAATGAAAACTAAATTTCTCATTCTTGAAGAAGAAAGTTATCAGTATTTAAAAAAAGGGGGATTGGAATCAGAAGTATCAGTTAAAATTTGTAGTTTTTAAACAGACACACAGAAAAATATATTTATGGAGCACACATAGAGACATATCCTAGTAATGTCCATTAAAGTGCCTATATGCAATGATGTCCTCTTCGCAATGAGCACATCTAAATGCCTAGATATTAATTTCCAAATACCATTTCTCACGAAAAGGAACCAGGGCTCATTTTGCAGGGCTAAGGAAGGGAAGGTAAAGAAGATCTGAAATATCTTTTTCCAGAAAGTAAGAAGTGCTGAAACGTTGACGGGGACATTTAAAAAGGCTATTGAAACCAGTGTGAAAGAGCTACTATGGGCACTTCTGGGACAGTTTGAGAATAAGATAAAATTNGCTGAAACGTTGACGGGGACATTTAAAAAGGCTATTGAAACCAGTGTGAAAGAGCTACTATGGGCACTTCTGGGACAGTTTGAGTATAAGATAAAATTATAATCCACATAATAAGAATCTACAAATCCATATAGACATAAAAAAATAGATAAATACTAGTAAGTAAGCCATAGAAATCTAACGCATAGTATAGTAAATATAGACAACAATATTACACTATAATTATGTCGTGATATAGTTACGTTGGCAATCATATAACACATAAATGTATCAAAGTAACACCTAGTTCACACAATGTTATATGTCAAATTTATTCAAAATGAATAAATGAATGAATGAATGTAACAGTGTTAAGAAAAAGTCCTTTAAAATAAAATCCCAGCTAATAAACATGAAGAAATAATGGAATTAGCAAATCACCAATATAGCAACCATCACAGTAACAACTCATTTCGGCAATGGATGTTAAAACTAAAGGGTGAAAAGTGATAAGAAAAAGGATATTTATATAGTCTCAACACATCTCCCTACAAATTAATTACAAAGAGAAAATCAACCAGTAACTTTACTGGAAGAAACCTGGCAGAAACCACTTTAGTAAGTCATTGTAGGGGTTCAGAATGAGTCACCCCAAGGCATGCTTCTATGGTATGCAGATTACTTTGAACTAAAGGCAACTGAGACCCTGCAGGCTCAAGAGAAACTTCTGCACCCATTTAACTCCCAAGAAGAATTTAAATCAGAGGCTCTGCAGATAGTAAGAGTTATCACCAGAATATAATTTTATGACCTATCTATAGGCAGGGCAAACTGCTAGTTACTGAATGGAACCTGCTGTTATCGTCCTGCAGTGACCTTCCTCCCCCTGGAGCCCCAGTACAGAATGTCACATATGCCTCATTTTCCCTTTCTGTCTCTGGACCTCTCCTGTACGTGGGGTCGCTGACTCTCTCAGGTATGTGGGGTTCCCATGTGCACGTATGCACGTAAGTCTGGCTACTTTCTCTTGTTAATCTGTCTCATGTAGATTTAATTATTAGACCAGCCAAAAGAACCTTGAGGGTAAAGGAAAGTTTCTTCCTCCTCCACATGGTCAAAGTTAGTATCACCAGAACAGAATAAAACGACATCATGTCTCCTGAAGTAATAAACTGAGAAAGACACATTATTTCAGCCAAAACCCCACAAACTCATACTGAGAGACATTCTATACAATACCCAACTTGAAATCTTAAAAAATGCAAAGGTCATGAAAGACAAAAAATGAAGAAATGTTCTAAATTAAAGGACTGTAAAAAGACATAAATAGATTAGCCTGATACTGGTTTGGACCTTAACCAGAAAAAAATTCTCTTATAATGAACATCATTTTCATAAATGGTAAAATTTAAAAAGGTCTCTGGATTAAATAATAGTACTCTATGAATGTTAATTTCCTGATTTTGATAACTGCATTTAGGTATGAATGACCTTGTTCTTAGAAAATACACAATGAGTATTTAGCAATAAAGGGGCATCATGCCTAAAACTTACTCTCCAGTGATTCAGGGGGGAAAAAACCTACCTACCTACCTACCTACCGGCACGCGCGCACACACACACACACTCACACACACATCAGAGAGATGATAAAGTACATGTGGCATGATGTTAATAATTGAGGAATATGAATGGATGGTATAAGGCAATTTTTTGTACAATTCTTACAACTTAAATAATTTCAAAACAAGGTTATGAGACACAAAAAACACAAATTTAAAGGAAATGGTAAATAAATTTGACTACACAAAAATACTATAATGCCAGAAATGGGAGAAACACATATAACTAAAAAAGGGCTAGTACCTGGGAGATATATTAAAAAACTCCTACAAATAAATAAGAAAAAGAAACCAAACACAAAATTAGGCAAAAGAGTTGAACAGAAAAATTCTTAAGAGTGAATGACTAATAAACATAAACATGTTCAATCTCATTGGTAATCAGGAAAATTTCACAGCAGCACTGTTCATAACAGCCTCAAACTCATACTGAGAGACATTCTATACAATACCCAACTTAACCCTAGGAACTTTACATGTGAACATTTAAAGAAGAGAAAAACAGACAGTGAGGTAGGAAAAAAGTCAGGAGTGTAGTGTTTCAGAAGCCAAGAGAAACAAGAGAACAGTAAACTTTCACACAATACACAAAAAAGCATTGTTCTCTGATAAATCACTTATCTTAGGATTCAGCACTACTTTTCGATGACTCTGAATTTATTAACCCAATGAAAAAGGATGTGAACGTTCTGGTATTTTATATTCAGAAACCAAAATTCTTAATTCTATGTTTAAAATGTCCTCTTTTCACAATGCAGAACGTTAATTACACCAACAGCATATAGTCAGTTATTGGAGTGAGTGTAGGTCTGCATTTGACAGCCAGTTTTGTCAAACCCGAATGACAGCCTCAATTTCTATCATGTGTTACTGAAATGGTAATTATAAAGATCATTGCTCTGCAAAACTGGACATGTAAGTAGGGGCTGGTAACAAATAAAATACAAAAATTGGTCAGACCAAAACAGAAACTTGAACAATTGGGAATGTGAACTGAACAGTTCGCTTGACTCTTTCAGTTATAAATAACAAAAAGCTTTTACTTGAAAATAAAGTTACAAGGTATTTTCTAGAAAATTTTAGACAACCATTTGGCTTAGGATTCTTTTTTCTTACCTTTCAAATGAAGATGGACTAAATACTACTTAAGGTCTCAATAAGCAATATTTTAAATGGTGTCATTTGGGAAAGGAAAATGAATCATGAAGGGTAGTAAAATTTAATACTTTATCTAAATATAAACCACACTTTTGAGAGCTGCAAAACCAAGAAGTAGCATACATTAACCTAATGATAAATCCAACTGAACAGCCCACTGCTTTTTTCTTAACATAAAGGTTTATTTTAAAAGTATAAATATACTGAGAACTAGTTTTAAATAAAAGAAGGAAGCTCCTCAAAGCGACATTTGAAACTATATTTTTATTAATGTAAAAATGCAACTTCTCACAAACTTGAGGTAAAGATGGAAGTTCTGATGTTTCAAAACCAAAACAAAACAAAATAAACCCTCTTCTTTGAATAAAGGAAGAACATACCACTAATTTAGGTCCTTGTTTTAAAATATCACTACTTAAAAAACAGAAAAGTATTTCTCTCAAGAGCACTTAAGCCAAAATTCTGTTGGCTATAAACCAATATATTTAAACCAATGCTAATATGTAAAAGACAATTAATTTGAAGCAAACTATTGTATGGCTGATAAAGAATGAGTAATATTAATGTTAGAAAATAAACCTGTTACTTTTAATTTCAAATATTCACTTGTTTTGCCAGCTAATAGAATCTACGAATAATTAAAATCCAATCAATGGTCAAATTTTGTTCTGTGATCCCTGCTACCCTTTAGAAAACCCGAGAGAGCCGTGGCTGGTTTGGCTCAGTGGTTGCCGTGGTGGCCCACGGACTGAAGGGTCGAGGGTTCAATTCCGGTCACGGGCATGTACCTCAGTCGCAGGCCCGACCCCCAGTCCTGGTCGGGGCGCATGCGGGAGGCAACCAATTGATGTTTCTGTTTCTCTCTCTCTCCCTTCCATTCTCTCTGAAAAGCAATGGAAAAAATATCCTTGGGTGAGGATAAAAAAAAAGAAAGCCTGAGAGAATCTAAGAAAAGGGCTAATTGACATAACATGGGTTAATAAATGAAACGTGCAACTTTAGAAAACTTGCTTTGTGACCCAAAACAGAACTACTCACCAAAAGCAGCAGCCATAGGGGATTCAAGGGATGGATGGCCATCACCAGTAGGAAGGTCTAAGCGAGTGAAGTCTCTGCTTTTGTCATTATTATATTTCACATTAAGGCTGGTGAGCTTGGAGAAGTCAATACGCAGAGTGCAGCATGCATTATAGATATTCTGGCCATCCAGAGCCTAAAGCATGTAAGAAAGGGACTGATGTTTTGCAAGACAACAACACTGATAAATCAAGTAGCCTCTACTTTGACACAGAATGGCTATCAGGCATAAAGCAGAGAGCATTGGACTAAAAGCCAGAGACCTTTATTCACTTTTACCTTTGTCACTATGTGCACCTAAGAGAGAAAAAGAAAATCCCTAACTCTCATTTTTTTCATCTGTAAAACAAGGATAATCCCTACCTTGTCTCTGGTAGGATCAAATGAGAGAAGAATTATAAAGGCTTGGAAAACTATTATGCATTACTGTACACTGTTTTAGCTACTATTATGATTATTTTGTCCATAAAAAATGTTTACAGATAATTTTACATTTCGTCTTAATTCTCTTTAGTGTAGTTTATACAGGTTAAGATGAAATAAGCCTTTCTAAATGGTACTTATCAGAAACACAATACATGAAATACATTACCTACCATTTTTTCTTCTCTTATAAATTTATTTTTTAGTACTTTAAATAATTAGCTGAGGGAAATTTGGAGTCGTTCTGGTACAAGAACAAAGATCTGTAATCCTTCCCCCTTCACAATAACAAAAATTTACCAAAGGAATATTTGTAGCCACTTATGACTTCCACAAATGTCCAAATTTATAAAAATAGATATCAGAAACCAAGACAAACAAAAATATACAAATACACAAAAAACCCTGACTTGTAATAGTTATTGATGAGTATGCCATGACAAAGGTACAAAATTATATATATGTGGAGGTAGAGGGTACAGTAAATATAAAGGCTATATTCCTAACCAAGAGCTAGACACTGTGTGGTACACAAAAGTACAACCACCTTGTCCCTATCCTTCAAAAGAATTTAGAAACAATTCAGATAGTGATGTAAGACAGAATTCTGGTTAGGAATAGATCTCAATAGGAGATGGGTCAAATATAACCAAACTGAATGTGAAATTTTATATCTTGTCAAAAGTCAAGAACTCATGAACCAAAAAAAAAAAAAAAAAATTGACAGCAGTATGTTTCCTAAGACTTATGTCTTCACCAATTCAGAGCTCAGTAAGATTCAACAGTGAGTATGGTTGTCAAGAGTGAAATCAATCTTTGGATAATTTAATAGAAGCAAATAGAGGGACAAGGGCAAACATAATTCTACTTTATTAGTCAGATTATATCAAGAGTACTGTGCTCAATTATAGACGTTAAATATGACAAACAGAAATGAGTCCCAGAGATCTGAGATGGTGATCTGAAACCATTTCATATGAACAAAGTAATTTTTAGCTTGTTACAAAAAAGAGCATATGAAACAGTATATTTTAAAATGGTAATCTTTATATTATGTTTATCTTACTACAATAAAAACACACATGTAAACTGGAGCGAGGGAGGAGACATGGCGGCTCCCTTCGGTATCACTGACGTGACTAACTGAAAAATGTAGCAGATAGTAATTACCGCTCTGGCGTACTGTGCATGCAGGGGGTCAGCATACTGAAGCAGGGCTTGAAACTGGTTATTCTTCGTAAAGGTGATAATTTTCAGCACTGTGCCAAATTTAGAAAATATCTGGAAAAAAGTTCACATTAGGTTATATCGAAGGAAAAAATTAAACTAACATATCTTTATAAATACAACTTGATTCATGAATCCCATTTTAAATGAAAATAATTTCCTCTACTGAAATTGTTGGCACCAAAATAACTTAAATCAAGCTCTTTGGTATAACACACAAAAGCTCTCCCTGGCGTACCTCTCCAACCTCATCTCCTGACACTTTTTATATCACATTATTTATACCAACAATATGCGGCTGTCTACAGTTCTCCAAATACACCAAGTAGTTTCAGACTTCTATGCGTATACATGTGGCTTTTCCCTTTACCTGGAACTCTTGTGCCTAACACCTAGTAAATTTTCATTTATTTTTTTGAACACTCAGTTCAGGGAAGGGATTTAATGCCACCAGAAAATTCTCAGCCTCTTCCAAATTTCAATAGTTAGTTCTCGTTCCCAAATATTATCCCCTTCTTGGCCTCAGATATTTATCTTATTTTACTTACAGTGTATATACATTTGTTTATATATCTGTCTTCTTTAATTTAAAATGTCTTGTCTTAATCATTTCTATTTCTTGAGTACAATTCCTGGCATATAAGAGATACAGGGTAAATGCTTTTTATTAACTGATAAAGAATTATACTCTGAGATCTAATTGGAGAATTACAGTGATATGCAATTAAAAAAAAAAAGATAAAATATCTTATTAGTAAAGTAATGAGAACATATAATTAGCTCTAAAATTTAGGATAATTTTATACTAAATTATGTTCTAGAACTTAGCTAACTTCCACTTAAACTTCAGATTATTACTGTTTAGATTCGTTCTCTCATTTAATTTGAAAAATAATCTGATGGACATCCTCACTGACAACTGTGTTTTTAGCTGTGTCATTTTTATGTGAAAGTCCTAAGAGAATATAAACCGACTTAACTGGCTAACCATATATAGCTCTCTAGAGCCCCCTGAACTGTATTTAGTGACAGAGTAGCTACAAAAACAAATGAGTCAGTCTGATACTTTTGAATAAAGTAAATTAAATGAGCACCAACGTCTAGAAATCTAGGAATGCCTAAAGTGTGATCTGTAACATTATTTCATAATTATCAAAATACTAAATTTTAAACAGATTCCATTTCAAAAGATTAACATTTGGGAAAGTTCAACATATTCAGATTTATCTTTATTGATTATCAGGTCTCTGACTTTATTTCCCTAATATATTTATTTTGATGTCATAAATATAAACACATAGACTCAACTCTTGGTGTCTCCTGTATGTTATAATCTTTTAGACTTTAAAATGGAACTAAAAAATACTAAAGATCAAATTCTGATGAAATTTATCTTCAGGGTGATACTTATAAAGGTAGAACTTGCCAGAAACTGAAACTGTTCACTAGTATTTACTTATGAAAAGCATATTCATATTAGAACTTTTAAAAATATCAAGCACATTGGCCACAACTTGTTTATAACAGTTTTTGTAGCCAACAAAACAGTAAGACTTAAAACCAGAATTTTATATTACTAGTATTAATTCTTTTGTTTAATATCATAATAATTGATTTTTGTTGGTTATTTATCTTTATTCTGCAATTTAAAAAGATCAGTCCTTTGGCCTAAAGAGATTCATCTCCTGGCTATCTATAAAACACCTCCCTTTTTAACAATACTTGGAAGTAATAGAGTACATGAGAACACTCTTTTCAACTACTCCTTCAGAGCACAAAGAAGTTTTAGTGTGCAGGGTTGAATTTACATAATGATCAGCCAATGAATGCCTTCTGTATCTACAAATATGCTCTAGGTGATGCCACAGAATCCAATGGCTTTAAATTACCAACCATATGCTGATGACTACCAAATCTCCAGGCCCAGAATTCTTATGCCCAATGTATACTTCCCAACTGTCTATTCAACACCTCCTACAGTTGGATTTTTAACAGGTATATCAAACTTAACATGTCCAAAACACACTTTAATATATATATCTTTATTGATTTCAGAGAGAGGAAGGAAGAGGGAGAGACAGGAACATCAATGATGGGAGAGTAATCATTGATCGGCTGCCTCCTGCACACCCGACTGGGGATCAAGCCCGCAACCTGGGCCTGTGGCCTGACGGGGAATTGAACCGCAATCTCCCGGATCCTAGGTCAATGCTCAACTGCTGAGCTATGCCCAGCTGGGTCAAAATATACTCTTGATCCCTGCTCTACCTCCCACCCCTGCCCCCAATCTTTTCTCCCCTCAGCCTTTGCTATTCTAGTATAAGATAGCTCTATTTTACCAGAGGCTGACAGATAAAATCTGGAAGACATTTTTGATTTCTCTCTTCATAATCCACATCTACTCAACCCACCATCAAATCCTTCCAAATATATCCAATAATCACCACTTCAGTGTCCACATCCTCACCCAGGTCTCCAACCATCTATCTCTCACATGGATTATGACAAGAGTCTTATGACTACAGCTTATTCTTTGTTTTGTTTTTAAATTTATCTTCATTGTTCGAAGTATTATAGATCCCTTTTTTTCCCATTGACTCTTTCTATCCAGCTCCCACCCCACCCCCATGCCATCACCATACTATTGTCTGTATTCTTAACACAGCAACAAGAGAAATTGTTAAAACATAAATGTACCACTCTTCGCAAAATCATCCATTTCCCATCTTACTTAGTGTAAAGATGATAAAGGCTTTATTTATATCACCTGGCTCCTAACCACTTCTCTGACCCTCTTATTTATGGCATTCCTACTTTTTACACTCCAATGACATAGCCTTATTTCTGATATTTGAACACATTAAGCACACCTCCATGTTAAGGACTTTGCACTTGCTGTTTTTTCTGACTGGACCATTAGTCAGAAAAATTACACAAATTACACCTTAACATCCTTCAAGCTTCTGCTCAAATGTCATATTGGAAACATCTCTAACTTCCCTCGTCAGAAATAGCACCATTCCCATCTCAGTCACTCTCAATCCCCTCACCATGAGCTAAAGGAAAAACCACTAGCTTCTTTCTACAAATGTTAGAGAGCAGTTAAGCTAATGCCAACTCTTCAGCAAATATAAAATAATCCCTAATTAATTATAACAGGTGGAAGCAACTCCACACTTCCATGTATTTCCCCATCTCAATATTCATTGTATTTTATGCTATTACTTATGAAATTGTATCTTACCCACAAGACTACAAAAGCAAGGATCATTTTCTTACAGTGCAATTTACTAGCATCTGATAATTACTTGATCACTTAATATGCAGCAGGCACTGTTCTAAGTGCTTTAAATGCATTAACTCATGTAAACTTCACAATGAAGGTATGGAGACCATCTTCATTCATCCCCATTATATATTAATAAGTAAAAGACACAGATGAGGTAAGTTACTTGCCCAGGGTTATAGAGGTAGTAAGTGGTAAAGCCAGGATTCAAACCAGCTCCAACCCTGTATCCTTAATCCTTATGCTATACTATGCTTTAGCTGGCTAATGAGATAAGAGTGCCAGGGGAGAGGGCTTAGTTAATGTAACTAGAGAAATACTCTCTGAGGAGATGAATAAGTTAAAATGAACCCAATGATGGAGAATTCAGTTAAGTGACTATCTCAGTGAAGAGTGTTCCAAGCCTAAGAAACAAAACAGAAATGGACTAAGACAGGAATAAGCTGGAGGGAAGGGAAGAGGGTCAATGAATGGGCCACAAAAGTCAGGGTGCTAAATAAGCAGAGAAATGTTAGGAAATGGAGTTAAAGAGATGGGGAGAGGTTTGCATGTGGGGGCCTTATGGGCCTTGGTAAAGAATTTGATTTGATATCCAGAACAGTGGGAAGGAGCACTAAACAAGAGAGTGCTATAACAGAAAGGCTGAGAGTTCTACCCTGAGAGTTACTATTAATGATTCTCAGAATTACCTCTCTTCACCTGAAGGACCCCATGATCTTTGGGAGAGAAACAAGGCTTGTTACTACTCTCAGGGAGATGATAAATGAATGACAGACAGGACCACATGACCCTGGCTAAACTCACTGGGTTAGATGGCAATGTTGAGCCACAGGAGCAAGAACAGCCTTTGTAACACAGTGTAAGTTAGCAGTGGCTACAGTGTCACAGTGCCAAAATCAAACGAACACTGCTCCCGGATCAGGGTGCTCAGAGCCATTTTGTGGGATAAACAGAAGAGAAGAAAATCCACTAGGACAAAGAAAGCAATCACTCAAGCAACTCCTGAACCCTTTTAGGGAACAATAGTGGCTATGGATACCACTGGTAAAGCCCTCTCTAGGACAGGCTTCACAAATGAGTGTTTAAGAAAGTGGTGGTACTCAGAAAACTATCACAGGGATCACAGTAGGCTTAATAAATAGTATATTTTGATATTTACATGCATGGCAAAGGACCTGTATTAGGCAATGTATCCAAGCTCTATCACCAGTTGGTACAGTGACTGTGGAAACATAACTTCTAAGGGTCTCTGTTTCCTTATTTATAAAATGTGAGTAGAATAAGATGCATTTCAATTCTTAAATACACAGGCACATCCATACCCCTACGACTCTTCACTTTTAGTACAAAGATCAGAAAAACAGTTAATAAGTCTGGCCTGGCCTGGTATTATACTGGAAATATATATTGAGATATAAATATGAAAATAAGCAAATAATATGTTTTAGTATTTAAATAAATGGATTGACAAGTATAATGAAATTAAATCGATATGTAGCTAAAAGGGACAAAACTAACAAGTTTTTGGGCTAGATAACAAATGTTTATGTATACAGATTAACAAATAATTATATGTTAAAATTTATATGTTAATATGTTAACAGAGTATTAGTTAAAAATATAACAAGCATACAAAACACTCTGGACTTCACATTAGGAGGCTTGAGTTCTAACTGGCTCTTCGATTACTCTCTACAATACTCAATGCATCAATTATCTGAGCCTCAGTTTTACTCACTATAAAATTACACGAGGTCCTTAAATTCTATATACTCATAGTAGGCCATGATATGGTCTATCAAGACAGATTAGACATATTAATGGGTAGTCAATGAAAGTTACATTGAGCATCTAACATGATACTTCCATGTTATATATAAAGAGTTATCATATACTTTCCTTTCAGAGTTTTTAAAACAAAAACACTCAAATGTAAGGAATCAACAGGAATATATTAGTTGTTTTCTATGCTGATGTTACTTTCTCAGTAATAACTACTACCAGTGCTTTTTAGAGAATTCTATGCTTTATTCATTTTCATGCTTACGTCTTAAAAAAAAAAAAAATGTCTTACACACCTTTTTAATCAAGTATTCAAGTTAGAAAACAGGGGTTGTCAAAATTATCTCTAACTGATAGTACTTTTTGCATGAAACGGTAGATTTTTAAAAAATTTAAACAAATATATCAAACAAAATCAACAACCTAAATGAAGATATAAAACATCTAAAGTTACAGAGGTCACATTTGACTCTGCTTTCATAAGAGTGAGTGTTCCTCCTTACCTGATGAAGAACTTCCAGAGTAACAGGGTAAAAGAGGTTTTCAATAATTATTCGGAGCACAGGGCTCTGCCCAGGTAGCATTGTGCCTTCATTGGTGGGAGCTCCAGGAAGGGCCAGACTTCCCGACTGGACAGCACCGACAGCCTGCAGTGCAGCTTGGGCTCTCTATAAAACAATCCAAAATGAGAACTTTTGGTTACACAGAAGCAATACATGAATCCTAAAAATTAGTTAATGTAAAGTAACATAAAGTAATAGTTAAAAAAATATATATATATCTACTCTCTTTGGATGCACATATCCTAAATTTATAATCAGTCAAAAAAGTCTTAAAAGATTTGCTTTCTTATCACAATGGAATAATATGTAAGAAAGTTGCTTAACTTTATTTAAAGAAATGAAAAAGAAAAAAAAACATGGCAAAAACCAAAACAAACCCCAAGAATGTATGTATATGATTTTAATTCAAAATATTTAAATAGGAAAAAAGACAATGTGAAAATAATATTAAAGACCACTTAAAAACCATTCAAGTCCCCTTATGTATCCCTGAACAACTGAATTCTAAAGTCTTTGGGTGGCATATGACAAATGCATATATGGAGGAGGAGAGGAGTGAGATAAGGAGGGCATCCCTATAGGAAGGCATCCTGGCACGGAGCATCACAGCCTAAGCAATACGAGGCAAGCATCCATGTGGTAGGGCTGCGTAGCAAGGGGAACCTGAGAACAAACAGGGTAAGGAAGGAATCTCTATGTGGGGGTGGCTCACTGCTGGATATGAGAACCTGAGGAGCATGAGAAGGGTAAGAAAGGCATCCAGAGGAGAGTAACCTGGCCAGGAGTGTCAGAGCGCAAGGAGAGTCAGGAAGGGGTCCAAATGAGGTGGGTAGCCAATGTGGTAAAGGCAATCTGAGTATGGTGAATAAGAGGTTTATGAGGGCCTGAATGGGGTAGGAAGGTAGTAATGGAGGGACAACCTGGCATGAGGTGTTAAGAGCCCAAGCAGGTAAGGCAGACAAGTTTCTAAATATCATGCTCCACTAAAAGAAACCAGGGTACTTTAAAAAAAAAAAAAAGTCACGCTCTAGTTGTGGAGCAAGGAAAGCAAAAAATGAATGTATAACTTTTTGTTTTTATTATTTTTTTACCACAATGCAAAGAAGTGCTTAAAGAATGATAGAAAGATGCCAAAATGACATAGAAGACAACCTAAAGAGCACATCATCAGTAATGCAGCAAACTGAAATTATGTCCCACCTGATATGATACAATGAGGAAAAAAAGAACGTAACACCTGTGATGCTCCTGTCAGCGATATATACACCAAATCTAATCACAAGGAAACATCAGACAAGCTCAAACTGAGGGGCATCCTAATCCATTTGATTGTCTCAAGTTTTAAAATCATTTTAAAAATAAAGTAGGTGAAGGAGGGAAAATTTGAAAGAAAAAAGGCATAGTTAATGATTATTGAAATTAAATGTAAGTTTTCATCAATCTTTTGTTCCTTATCATTGCTTAAGAACGTTGATAATTAATAAAATGTTTGTGCTACAAAATGAAACCCCTCACCACTTGAATGTAGCTGTTTTCATTTTCAGTGCTGCTTGAAATTTTAAAGATCACAGTACTTTGTACGTTGTTTTAAATTTCTTGTCCTGGCCAGGTGGCTCAGTTGGAGCACTGTCCTGTACACCAACAGGTTGTGGGTTTGATTCCCAGATGGGTGCACACGGGAGGCAATCGATCGATGTTTCCCTCTCACATCAATGTTTCCCCCCCTTTCTCTCTCCTCCTCCAAAAAATCAATAAAAAGATATTCTTGGGTGAGAATGAAAAAAAATAAGTTAGCATTTCTTTTGTTTTGTTTTCATGATTTTAATTTTTACTATTTACTATGCCATCATTCTATGAGAAAAGTAGTTTTCCAACATTTTGCTATGACAAATAACATTAAAACTTAAAATAAGTAGTATCTTTCTGAAAATTGGCTGTCTTTTACTTTCTCTATGTTTAATCGTCAGACAGTTTCTATTTTTATACTTATATATACACAATCATGCTCTACATAGCAACATTAAGTCAAGGAAATATTGCACATATGATGGTGGTCACATAAGATTACAATGAAGCCGAAAAATTCCCATTGCCTAGTGACATTTTAAACATCATAATGTCATAGCACAACATGTTACTCATGTATTTGAGGAGATACAGGTGTAAACAAATCTACTGTGAGGCTAGTCATATAAAACTATAGCACATGCAATTATATACCAGTATGTAATACTGGGTAATGACAATAAACAACTGTGTTACTGGCTTATCTATTTATTATACTTTTTGTTATTTTAGAGTGTATTCTTTCTACTTATTTAAAAAAAGCTTGCTATGAAACAGTATGCCATGTTATGCTGGCAGTAGCCTCATATACCTCATGTTTACTGCATCTCTCAATTACACCATTTTCTCTTGTGCTTGATTTAATCTTATGTTGTTTTATGAATTTAGTGTAGCCTAAGTGGGCAGTGTTTATAAAGTCTACAGTGACATACAGTAATGTCCTAGAACTTCACATCCGCTCACCACTCATCATCCAGAGCAACTTCTAGTCCTGTGAACTCCATTCATGGTAAGTGTCCTATACAGGTGTAACATTTTTTACCTTTTATACAGTATTTTTAATGTACCCTTTCTATTTTTAGATATGTTTACATGGGCAAAAATACCATTGTATTACAATTACCTACAGTATTCAGTACCTTAACATGCTGTACAGGTTTGCAACCTAGGAGCAATTGGCTACATAGCCTAGGTGTGTAGTAGGTTATACCATCTAAGTTTGCGTGTGTCCTATGATATTCAAGCAATGACAAAATCACCTAATGATGCATCTCTCAGAACATATCCCTGTCATTAAGTGGCACGTCTGTACAAGCCTATTATTTATACCTTTTAGAAGCATTTTTATGCCATATACAAATTTTTATGTATCAGGTAAAGCACAACTGTCAAACATTCCATTTCCAAAGCATCATCATCTTTGAGAACAATATATGAATGATTATTTGAGTATTTTATGTCGTTGGTTTTCAAAACTATGCTCTTGGAAAGCCAATTATGTGTGGAATACTGAGCACCACAATCCCACTTCAAACATGGCAGTTTATATCATATATTTACACTGGGTTCCCCAGTAAGTTTTACTGGAAATAACGGTTCTACTTCTTTCAACTTTGAAAACTGACTCAGACTTCCACCACTCTGAGTCCATAATTAGAAGAAAGGGATGGTGGTGGTGTCAATCAATCAAAAAAGACCCAGAACTGACTGATACAGGGGCTTGAATTAGCAGACAAGGAATTAAAGCAGTTATTATAACTGTCTCTCTCACACACACACATAGTAAGTAGAGACATGGAACATAAAATACAGAGCTGCCCAACTGAATTTCCTGTGATGACGGAAATGTTTGCTATCTACAGTGTCCAATATGATAGCCACTAGCCACATGTGGCTAGTGAGCACCTGAAAGGTGCCTAGTGCAACTGAAAAACTGAATTTTTTGTTTTGAAATTTATTTGTCTAGGAAAAAGACATCATCATAGTGAGGTTCTAAGTGGAATAATGGTTCCTTTTCTTCTTAGATTAAGATGATTAAATCTTATCAAATTTAAGCCTGCACAGACAAAAATAAACTTAACCTTACTGACTTTACTTCATTATCACCAGAGTAATTCTATTTATTCTTTATATTAAGCAATTCTACATATATGTTGGCAGCTGCTAGTATTAGTTGTTGTTATTCTTCTTAACTCCTTCCTCTTTGGCATGAGAGATAGCATAGTGGGGAAATATAAAAAGCCATGGTATATATTGTTCTAATCATTCTGGAGTTTTCAATACACTCTGTATTAAGTATTTCATTGAGAACTGAGTATAAAGGTCTCTGAGAAGCAGGCATGCAAGACAAGCTTCTGACAACAAAAATCTGAGAAACTAACACCTGAAAAAAATGACAGTTTTATTCCATAAGTAGTTTTATAGTTTCAATTTTTAATTGGGGGGGGGGAACACAACCAAAACCATTTAAAAAAAAAAAAAAAAAAAAGGTATTGAGGCACACTATCCACTGACGACAACAGAAAAGCCAGGGAGGAAAAAACAAGAAATGTCTTAATATGAAGAGATTCTGTGTGACTCTGATAAAAATTATGACGCAGAATTCCAGTTATAGGAGATGATATTTAAATGTTTGGAAACAAACTCTCTGGAATGGTTACATTAACTATTAAAAGGAAATAGCATCAGTATAATAGAAAAAACAACACATTTTTATTGAGGTGGGGGAGAGAAATATACTTCATGTAAAATTTAAACATACCTAGATAATGTGAGGAATACTTTCCTAAAATTGAGATGGAAATGACTATACAATAAAATGCAGAGGTTTTAGCGTTCGGTTTGATGACTTTTTAGAGAAAAATCCTTTCATGGTTATCTGTTAGTAGATTTATGAACTTCCACCCACAAGGTCAAGAAAAACTGTCTAAACAATAATGAGTGCTATTAGGACAACCATTTCTCAAATGGTGTACCTCAAAATATGATATACAATTTTTTAGCTCTAATTTGTTTAAATCAAGGGACAAAAATACTTGATATTCACCTGACCCTTTGGCAAGTATGTCCATAAGCTGGAAAAAAAGTTATGTGCATGTTTGGGGATATTGTGATTCAAAATAGAAAAGTAACAAAATGAAAAGGGTATTGGGAAGAAATCAACGCTATCGAAGAATAAACTAGGTCATTTGGGCTGGCTTTGGTTGCCAAGCAACTGGGATTTCTCACTGTTTCCCTTTAGAATAATCCTGTCTTTAAGAGTCTTATTAAATTGTTTATTTCTTTTTCAAGACTTATACTAACATATTTAGGAATCACAGTAATGAGAAAACTGCACGACTTATATAAAGGAAATTTAAAAGCTCTCCGAAAGACAAGAAACAATATATAACTTCCTCATCAAAGGATCAGTGAGCAATATACAGTACATCAATTATCTTAAAAATAATCTATAACATCAACTCAATTGTATCTTTGGAGATAGAAGTTATCAAAGTAATTCTAATATATCTGGAGAAATAAATAAAATATATTAACAAGTTAACTTCAGATAAGAGAGAGTAAAGAATGGGCCTTACCCATATAATATATTAAGCCAGAGACATTGAAACAGGAACGGAACAGAATGGAATCCAAAAGGCAGTCCAAATGAAATACGAATTGCATACAGAGGCCATGCAAGCAGAATGTGTAGGTATGTCTAACAAGTGTATATATGCATGTTATAAGTAGGTATAGTATGTACACAGAAAACTAGAACATGACAAAGGATATGTTTCACGTAAGTGGATAATGGGTTATCCAAAAACTAATTAAGGAGACACTGGTCATTGGGAGTAAAATAAAGACCAAAACCTAACCCTTACTTCCCACCCCAAAAATATTTCTAATAAAACTAAGATTTACATATTAATATATGAACAACTAAAACATAAAAGCAGGAGAACATAGGTAAAAAAATTTTTAAAAAAATTTTGTTAAGCTAGGTCTTTATGAGTAGGATATCAAAATCAGAAACTAGAATACAATCTGAAGAGATTTGACTGTTGTATGAAAATGTTTTAAAAACAGTATTACTAGCAGACAAAACTCCTAAGAGACAGAAAGTAAAATGGTGGTTGCTAGGGTCTGAGAGGAGAGGGAAATGGGGAGTTAGTGTTTAATGGGTACAGAGTTTCAGTTTGGGAAGATGAAAAAGTTCTGGGGATGGATGGTGGTGATGGTTGCATGATGTGAATGTATTTAATGCGACTAAACTATATACTTAAAACAGTAAATTTTATGTTACATATATTTTACCACAATTTTAAAAATGGAGTAAACCCACATTAACAGAAATCATTGTAAATACTTTATAAGTTATCAAATAAAAATAAGTAAACAGTAAGATATACTTTCTCACCTATATCATATTAACAAAGACAGGAAAGCTGCTCATACATTATCAGTGACATCCAAAATGGGCACATAATCTTTACAGAAAGCAATCATACATATATCAAAATATAAAATACACATATGCTTCCTCCCAGCAATTTCGTTGCCAGAAATGTAAACTAATAAGATAATGTTGCAAATGTGCTAAGGTATGTTATAAGAATGTTAATATACTACTATGTATAAAAGCACAAAATTGGAAACAATGTCTATTATAAAGAAACTAGATAAGTTATGGCTGTCCTATGGAAAGGAATTATTAGGCAGTCATTTAAAAATTGTAAAGTAATTTTATATTTATCCTCATGAAACAATGTCTATGACATATTATAATGAAAAACCATAGCTGTCAAAACATTAGACTTCCATTTGTGTAAAATTACATACATAGACAATAATACACCTAAATAAAGAAGGGGCACACACCAAAATGTTAGCAAAATTTGAGTTAATTAGTTATCTCTGGGTAATGAATTGCTTTTATTTTTTTTGTTTTTTTTTTTACTTTTCTGAATTGTTGAATGTCTTACTATGAGCATGTATTCTATTTATAATTTATAAGGCAATTTTTTCATTTAAAAAAGTCTACACTATTTAAAAATATCTAGTATTTAATTTACTCTTAATTTTATATAGTTTATTATATGATAGTATCCCTTAGAACAAATTAAGGGTTATGTACAGGAAATCTCACTGTTTTTAATAATATGAAAAACTATACTTTAAATTTAACAGCTTGCATTATAAATAACTTTCAACACAGAATCAAAGAGCTGGAGGAGTTCTTTTGCCTAGAGCAAAAGCCTAGAGGCCAAACACGCTCTTAACATTACAAAAAATCTTTCTTAAAATGTTACTTGTGCCTGGCTGGTGTGGCTCAGCGGTTGTGCATTGACCTATGATTCAGGAGATCGAGGTTTGACTCCTGGTCAGGGCACAAGTCTGGGTTGTGGGTCTGATCCCCGGTGGGGGGCGTGCAGGAGGCAGCTGAACAATGACTCTCATCATTGATGTTTTTCTCTCCCCCTCCCTCTCTGAAATCAGTAAAATATATTAAAAAAAACACACAACTTACTTGTTTGTGGATAAATTTTTGCTACCCTTAAGTAACTTCAAATTACTATTTTAATTACTTAAAAATCAACCTGGAGAGACACAAAAGACTCAACATGAACTACACCAAAATAAAAACTGGAAAATAGGTTAAGAAATGTTGGTACTCTACATTCCACATTCATCTTGAAGTAATAAATCATTTACTGAACATATCTATATAAATTCTGACTGAAATCTTAAATTCAGTTACTTTATATCACAACAGAAATATCAACTTTTTTATATAATGCCTTTGTTATATATTCTGTAAAAAGAAATGACTTCTAAAATTCCTCTTAGATCTGATATTTTAAGATATATAGAACAATTTAAGTTTTTCTTTTCTTCTCATGAAAACAGGTTCAAGAGAAAACTAAGTATCTGCCATTTTTAACACCATAACTTAAAACTTCAAACATATTTCTAAATGGCTTTACTTTCTTATATTTAAGCTTTTAGGTAAGAATTTACATGTATAACCTTTACTAATAAAGTATCCTAAGATGAAAAAAAACATGTTTTTGTTTTTCCTCTGAAACACAGAAAATTAATCTTAAGCTATTATACCATATGTTCTTATAACTATTTTAAAAAATGCCTTTAATACTTACAGCTTGATTAGGTAGATTGTCAGTCTTAAGTTCTCTGTGATTGGAATACTGAATAAAAATAGGCTGGCTTCGAAGGTGAGGTGTAACAGGAGTGTAATAATTCACCATAGTAATAGCAGCTTCCTCAGAAGCCATTTCTAAGAAAGCCTGCAATAAACACAAGAAGGTAAAGTGAAAGCTCATGTTTCTGAAAGACAGCTAAGAACTATTTTGTCATTTTAGCTTGTTCTAAACTCATGCATTCTCAACCTAAATAATATTGCCCCCGGGGGATGAAAATATTTTTGCTTCAGTGTGTACTGCTGATATTAATTGGGAACATATTTGAAAAGCTGAATTCAGTAAAGGATTTGGGATTGCGAAATTGCCAGCTGATTGAATGATTTATGTGGTTTTTCTCTTGTTTAGGTTTCTCCTAAATCTAGAAATTAAAAAGGCAAAAATAAATGTGTGCATCACCACTGTAAGTGGATGCTTACAGTAGGACGTGGGATTTAACAATTCTTTCCTAAAACATTCTCAAACAGAGATGAGGCATAATGATTTGTTCGGCTTTACCTTTTTATTAGTTTATGAATACGATTAAACAGAGCATTCAGGTGCAGAGGCTCAATTGTTTAAATTAGGGAAATGGGAGAACTTCCTATATTAAGTCAATATTGACTGGAGTCATTCACGGACAATTTTTTGATATCTGTAATCATTGTACTAATATTAAATATTTGCAGAATAACACAAGATGAGTTAAGATGGAAGACGCACCTTGGTATTTATATCTTATGCTATATGTGGCTGCTTTTGGCTGTCAGGACTCCTGTAACTTATGTGACAGGCACAGGAGACTTACAGAGTTATAAGGTGGCAGGTTTTGCCACCTATCTTAATGGTCAAGAAGATAAAACATAGACATATACTATCTACTCGGAACCCTCAGAACCACCTTAAGAACACCTTAAATTTAAAGTGCATTTCAAATCAACACATTTCTAGAAAGACAATTCAATTCTTTTTCTTACTACAATAGACCATTTAATTAGCAAGCATACAGTAACCAATTCAAATTATGTATAAAACATTTACAATTTATTTATAAAATATGTATTTAATAAAATTTATTGAACACAGGAAATGCCAAATCGAACTTTCTTTGCTACCTTACTTGGCAAGTATTTCCATTTGGCAAATATTCCAGGCTATTAACAAATGTTAAATATGATGCTTAACTGAATTAATCAAATGTCACAACTGAATTGATTAAATGAACTACAAAGATTCTATTAAGTAGTAATGTTAGCCACAGGACAGTGGATCAAATACCATTAACTAACTGATCCGCAATAAACAAATAAAACTCCTCTATCTTTAAGAAATAAAATAGACTGAATAATTTATACCATCTAAAAGGTATAAATATCCATGACATACTTTAAATCCACTATCCAGTTTTATCAGTAATATACTTTTTCTAATATTTCTAAGAAAGGATGATTAAAATGATCAAGGTAAAAATAGCTATGGCAACATTCCCTCTCTTGTTTTTAATCATCTTTTCAACAAAAAATTGTACACTGTAGTATTTTAATAATGTTCACTATATGGGGAGAGAGTCTTTTTCTACAAACTCTTTACTACATATTAAGAACTAACTCAATGTTTAACATCAGTCACAGAAAGGAAAAACTAAACAATGTATTTGGATTAGTACATGGTTCTTGTCACAGGAAGCTTTCCCTGAAAGCAAATAAAACCTACGAATTCATACGTAAAATTTTTTCCACATGGTGTCCAGTAAAGGTTTTATTTCTGTTTTTCTAAAGTATCCAGTCAAAAGGATCAATTTTCATAATGTGGGTGGAAAGAAAATCAAATCACTACCCACAGAAAGACTCGTGAAAATAATCCCCATTGTGCCCTCAACACTCTACACTCTACCTCCAAGTACCATGGAAAGATTATGCTTAAAAGTAGGTCTAGTGACTCACATCAGAATCTCTTGCTAAAGTATATTACTAACAGATCTTTTTCAAACAGTATTTATGATCAAAAGACAAGCAATCAACCTAACAGTCAATGAGCACTACTGATAAATATAAACCCAGAACCAACAGTAGAGACAAAGGAAAGTATGACATTGCCTGCTGCCTCTCACAGCCATTTGATATAAGGTATAGGATATACTACTGAAATATAATATACATGACACATGACTATTAGACACCTCACAACCATTAGGCATGGCCATCCATGTTCGCTCTTTTCAAACCATGCAAATCTACTATTCTCACAAAGGCAACTGTGTTAAAATAAAGATCTAAGTATATGTACTATCTGCAAGAGGTGTAAGATAAGAGTGTAGACTCAAGGGCTGAATACTAAGACATGTTATTTAACTTCTATGGATCTTAATAACCTCGTCCAAATTAAACAGGGATGTTAGTTTATAGTTTACAAAAGGTATGGGCCTAAATCAGAAATCATCATCCAGTCTCTAGCAAGTCTAATGCTAATCAATAAATTTATTTATAAATATATTTAAAAAGTGCTCCTTAAACTTACTGTCTATGAAAAGAGTAAGAAACACAGGGAGATATCGCAATGTGCTACACAATGTCCAGGGCCTAGACTTGTTGTCCTCTTCTTTGCAGCAATGCTCAGTGTAAAAGATTTTCAGGACAACAGAAAACAAGGAAAGAACTAAAAAACTCATCCCAGTGGGCTCTGATTTGGAACAAGAAAGCATGTGATTATTCAATCAACATGACAAGTATTATATTTTTGTCATGATCACCACAAAAGCAAATTTCCTTATCCATCTTAAGAAAAACCTATTAGCTTCTGAAATGAAAAAACTTCTTATAGTCTCTTTTAAATTATTAAATAAGCTAAATATTAATTCTACAACTAAAATACACTAAACATTTTTAAGTAGACTTTTTAAATTATATGTTCTGTGATTTGCCAAATGAGGTATAATTTATATCCTTTCTCTTTCTCTGTCAGGGTCTTCTGATAATCATAGGATATTCTCATAAACCATTTTGTAATTAAAAATATAAAATGTTTTTTATTAAGGAGGAAAAAGACCAATGTTAATATTTTTGTTTGTTGCTTCTTGTCACAAGAAAAAATTTATAATTTAAAAACTACTTCATGTAAATAGAATGAAATTTAGAAAATACAGAAAAGGTCAAGCAAATAAAAATCATCTATAACACTAATACCCAGAGATATTGCTATGGGTCAATCTTTAAATATTACATACCTGGCTTTTTCCTTTCAACATCAAAAGATTAGTTACTTTGCCAAATGGTAGACCTAATGATATGACCTCTGCTTCGGTGACATCACTTGGAATTTTGCGAAGATGGAGAACACGGGAAGGCGAACAGGGAGGTCTATCTCCTTTAAATTTCTTGTTGTCATTCCCATTAGCTAAAAAAATAAGATTTTTTAAAAATTANGAAGGCGAACAGGGAGGTCTATCTCCTTTAAATTTCTTGTTGTCATTCCCATTAGCTAAAAAAATAAGATTTTTAAAAAATTACTGAAACTAATTCGGGTTGACATACTACATTAATCATCGTGTTGTCACAGTTGATCCTCCACAGTTTCAGGTTTTGAAATTTAGGGAATTATAGGGTTGATGGGGTAACAGGACAGTAAAAAACAAAACCATGGATCTTCCAATGAAGAGGTTTTTGGGTTTTTCACTATAGGTATTAAAATTTTTAAAAATATTAAGCATGATGTTTAATTTCAAGGAACTTACTGGGTAAATTGATTACATATTTAGAGGCACCAAATACCTCTAAAGAGTCAACTATTTGTTGTGAATAGAGAACATTTATGATGTCCTTATAGTATTTTTAAAGATATTTTTCTAATTTGTTCTATTGCTAAATAAGTAGTAACAATAACTTTTAGGGAACACTGTAACAGAAATTTTATATTTATCACATCTTAAGGAGATTTGTGTTTGAACCGTATGTTTAGGAAAATTAAGTCTATTTCTTAAGGGTTATGTATTTTTTATTAATCTATTTTTTAAAGTTATATTTTTGAAGCTAAATTGTGGTTTCTGAGGATAACCTTATTACTTATTATAAAATAGTAGTTCTTAACATAAGCATGATCACCCTGCTGGAAATGCAAATTTTCAGCTCCACTCCAGATCTACTGAATCAGAAATTAGGGGTGGGACCCAGTAACCTGTGTTTTAACAAGTCCTCCAGATGATTCTGATGCAATCTAAAGTTTGAGAACCACTGCTGTAAAATAAAGAAATTATCCCAGTTCACAGGTCAATTTTACTGAAGTCCTAATAACACTGACAATAACTAAACTGACAAGCTTGTAACAAATATGTAAGTAAGATCCAGAAAAGTTTTCTCCCCCAGAAACAGCACTGTATAAAACTGAATGCAAATGATCTGAAAGCCAAAGGTTTCATTACAGCTTTTTAAAATATATATAACTTTATTGATTTCAGAGAGAGAAAGAAACATCAATGATGAGAGAGTCATCATTGGTCAGCTGCCTCCTGCATGCCTGCAACCATGGACCAACCCCACAACCCGGGCATGCGCCCTGACCGGGAATCAACCACAATCTCCTGGATCCTAGGTTGATGCTCAACCGCTGAGCCACGCCTGGCTGGGCTCATTACAACTTTTTTAAAAGAAATACTAAATACCATACTTAGCACTATTAGGAAAAAAATCTATAATCTTTCAAAATGCCTAAAATTATTATTTTTCCAAATACTAATGGAACTTTACAATCAGATGTCTGTGATCCTAAATAAATTCCATGAGGACCACATAAAAATTACATGGTAATATTTTATACCCATATTTGTGGCGCAAAACTCAACATGCTTACAGGTGAATAGGTTGACTTAATAACCAAACCAGCATTTTCTCCCATATTCTCTATGTTCATGAGTGCAGGCAGCATCCGACATGGAGCCAAAAGACTACCAATTCTTACAGATTCTTACAGTTCTGTGCCTGTATATAGCAAATGCTTAGGCTAGGTTGTAAAAAATAATTGGCAGTCAAATATTTATTGAGAATTAACTAACCTGGGAGGCAAGAGGTTCCTTCTCCCTCTGCTTCATCAATCACCATGAAATATTGATTTTATCCCTCCAAAATGACTGATTACATTTTCATCTCTACTCTCAATGTCACCAACCTCACCTATGATTCTGTCCCCTTCTACTTCTCTAGTCTCATTACTCCTCACCCCGACTCAGATCCAACATTATCAACCTAACTAAAATAGTGTATCATGTCATTATCCTGCTCTAAGAGCTCTGACAGGCTTCCAACTACCTAAAATGTCCATTAGTTTCTAGTTTTTTTCACAGTTTTCATTTACACTGCCCCATTTGACTTTGACACATAAAAATATACTCAGTTAAATCTTATTAACCTAGGTATGTGTTAGATAAGAATACCAAACATCACAGTCTGGACAGAAGTGAAAGCCAAGTATCGAGTGCTTTTTGCAACTTCCATGTAGGTCTAAATGGCTAGACTAAAATACCACCACCTTGTGCTTTCTTAACCAGAAAAAGGTGTTAAAGATTGGAAAAACATCCTAAAAGCAAGAAGCTTTCATTAGTTTACCCAGACTATTCCAAAATGAATGAAAGAACATAAGAAGGTTGTTTCTTTTAACAGAGGTATATGAAATCTCTGTAAAACTATGTGTGGGGAAAAAAAAATACTACAAGCTATTTGAGCTTGTGTTGTACTATCAAATAAAGACCCACAGTGATAAATTTTTATCAAAAAATGTGCAATTATAAATCACCATTTTAGGTTGTTAATTGTTCTGTATTACAAAAGTGCTGGAGCTGTATTATTTGTGAACATAGGCTATGAAATCAGACATCCTGTCTGGGCAAGTTAGCTGACAACTGAGCCTCAGATTCTTCTGTAAAATGAGTATGACAGAGCTATTTTGAAAATTAAATTAGATGACATCTAAACATTAGGTGTAATGCCTGGTACATAATAATCAATAATATATGTCTAGCTTTTAAGATTAACTATTTTACCTGGAAATTATGCTTTTCCTACTTTTTTGGTGTTCAAATAATGATTGTAGGCAATCATTTCATTTTTTCTCTTGATACCCTTACTTTGCAAAATATGTATAAGCAATCATATGGCCATAATTTAACAGAAGTCAACAGGAAACAGAAATTCTACTGCACTCAACACAAAACTTTGAAGAATTATTCTCTGTATAAAAGGATACACCACAGACTTTGCAAAATTTTTATTATGAAAATAAGCATTCAAAATACTTAGCTTATATCAATCCTGCATTTTACTGAATATATTGAAAACTACTGAATGCCTACTATATATTAGACATGTTTCAAAGAGATATATGGAAGAGGCTTTTACAAAATTCAACTTTATTAGGGTATACTTTAGATACAATAAAATCTACCCACATTTTATATACAGTTTGACAACTTCGGACATATATATACCCACATGACCACAATAATCAAGATATAGGACAATTCCATCATCCTCACAAGGTCCCTAGTGCCCCTTGTAGTCAGTCCTCCTTCCAAAATCCCCAGCTCCTCAATTAAGCCACACAGTGCCACTACTACACTGTCTTGATTACTATAGCTTTACAGCAATTCTTGAAATCAGGTACTTACTGAGAAGAATTCTCATCTTAATAATAGTCATCCAAACCATACACATCATGAGATCTCTGCATTTATTTAGGTCTTCTTTAATTTCTCTCAGCAACGTTCTATGGTTTTCAGTGGAATGGTCATGCATATATTCTGATGCATTTATCCTTACATACTTCATAATTTTTAATAGACTTGTAAATAACACTTTAATATTTTTATGTTCCAATTAATCACTGATAGTATACAGAAATACAATTTTGGTATGTTGACCTTGTAGTGAACATCCTTGCATCATTCCTGGTTTCAGAGGGAAAGTACTGTCTTACATTACTAAGTATAATGTTTGTTGTAGTTACTTTCACACCCTAATCAGGTTGAAAAGTTCCCTTCTACTCCTAGTTAGCTGATGCTTTTGTTAATCATGAATGGGAATTGAATTTTTTCAAATGCCTTCTCCAGATATAAACCCTACTTAGTCATGATATATGATCGCCCCTCTCTTCATATACATGTACATATTTGATTTAATATCTTGCTGAATATTTTCATGTCCATATTCATGAGGGATATTAATATATAATTTTTTCTTTCTGCATCAGAAATTAATTTATTTAAACTAAAAAACAAACATAAAGAACAAAAATACTCTTGACTGACAGTTATGCTGAATATAGGATTCTGTGACAGGCTGACAGTTTTATTCTTTTAGCACTTTGAACACATTGGCCAAATGCCTCATGGCCTCCAAAGTTCTTCATGAGAAATCTGTCCTTATTTTTAAAGAGGATCCATTGTATGTGACGAGTTGATTCTCTCTTGCTGCTTTCAAGATTCTTCGTCTTTGTCTTTTGAAAGTTTCACTATAATGTGTCTCAGTGTGGGTCTCATTGAGTTCATCTTACCTGGAGTTCATTAAGCTTCTTGGTGATGTTTACGTTCGTCTTTTTCATCAAATTTGAGAATGTGGTAACTCTGGGAATCAGATTCTTCCCCTTTCTCAGGGTTTACCAGATTGTTACTATTTTTACTTACTGTCATTCTTTTTGATTATTATAGGCTGTCTCTGCGCCAAGGATGAGCCTGAAGTGTAAACCTAAGGTCTTCTCAAGGTTTCTCCTGAGCCTTTTCCTTTATGACTTTCTAATTTTCCCTGTAGGTGAAGTTGTTTTGTAATGTCCTAATTTTTAATGTCTGGCTCCCAAAAGGGAATAAATAGGAAAAATGAAGTGGAGGAAGGAGAAGAGCACTGGCCCTTTAAATTTCCTGGTAGTCACTTAGCAGGGAGGGAGGCCTGGCTACAACAATAGCGGGAGATGCAAGAACAATGGCTGCCTGCCTCTTTGTTTGCAAGTGTATGATCAGATGAAGCAATTACATATCAGAACATAGATCCCCAAAAGTTAAAGGACAAGGTCTTTTTTTGCCCATCCCAGCTCCCACAAGCTGTTGTAAGCTGCTCCTGGAACAGGGACACAGCTGCCTGCCGTGTGACTGGGGGTGGGGGATGGGTAGCAGCTACTGTGGGTAAGAGCTGAAAATTAACCATAATTTATCTTCCAAATCTTCTCCTGGAACTTGCAAGCCTTCAACAGACTCAAGAGTTCCAAATTAGTTACAGATTCTGGAAGTGCAATTGTTGTCTAGGTAGGCAGTCAGATTCCTGATGCTTCTTATCCTGACATTTTCCCAGAATCCTCCCTCAATTATCTTTTAAATTAATGCCCCCTCCCCCCCCAAACAAAGGGAGAAAAGTCATGTA